TCATCACCCATGGGCGTGTATCCGTAAGGGGCCCCGTGCAGATCCAAGTCAACGAGCTCTTTCAGGTCCGCGCGCACAATTTGATCGGCATCAACGAAGATGACCTTCTTGAGGTCCATCGGGAAAAGCACGTCGAGGAACAGGATCTTGTATGCCCAGATGATCCGTTGTTTCTCTTTCTGCGCACGAAGCCAGGACGGCCACTTGTAAGTCACAAGCTCATACTGGAAGTTGTACGCTTCCGCCATATGTGGAATGAATTCCTGTCCGCGAGGTTACCACCAACTATGACGTAGCTGAGTGCGCAAAGAATTGCTACTCACCAGGAACGACGGCGACAAGAAGTTTTCGATAAACCAGAACTTAACGGTGCTCTTGGTGTTGCGCAGCACACTGAGGATCATGATCGACACAAAACGCTTGTCACAGCTTTAGATTAAACAAGTACAGGGCATACGACATGCCGCTCACCTCGTATAGCAGCCCGGAGGCTACCGTAAAGATGTTGATGTCAGCCTGTTTGGTCACAGGCACGACCTCCTTGGATGAGAAGATCGACTTGAACAGCCCGCCGAAGATGGAACCCGACCGGTCTCCCTCGTTACTGGGTTCATCCAGCACGTCCTCGCGTTCCTTGCCCGGATACCTCTGCAGTCTCGGATAGATCGTCGTCCCTTCGAAGCTGGTCACCGCAATCTCGTCCCCCGCCTCGGACACAGCTCGGCTGTCCAGTCCTTCATTTCCGACGCTTTCCATGAAGAAGATCTCTCGACCCCGGCCTTGCTCGCGGATCTCGAGCCGGAAAACACCCGGCTTCGCTTTGAACTGCAGGTAGCCCAGGTTCGCGACCACTTGTGTGTCGTCCACAGGCGAGGAGTCGGCGTTTAGCAGCTGCAGCTGCACCCCGCGTGGCGGAGCGCCTGTCACCGAATCACGCGCATGGCCTTCGACCACGAGATAGTCGAGCGCAAAGTCGGCATCGACGCTGGGTTCCGATACGCTGCCGAGCTGGATGTTGTCCAGGTCGTACAGGGCTTCCCGGGGCCGAACAAGCCAGGAGGGAGGCACGTCCATCGCTAAGGTGTAGATCGGCTCAACGGGGAGCTCTGAGAAGACTGCCTCCGTTGGCATTTGGACACTGCCGAAGCGGTGTAAGTACCACGCATGTCACGACAACGACCGGAACGTACCCGTCCGAATCGAATACGAGCGAAGGCAACAGAGCATATCGGTAGAATCGTTTGAGGGGGATCTGAACTATGTAAAGAACGACCGCACAGGTCTAAGTAGTTTGGCACACACCTCTTCATTGATCGAAGGATTAGTGTACACTTTGATGTATACATCCGGGATGTGCGCAAGCCACTGGTGCCGATCCATCAGTCAGGGCGCGATCTCCAACAAAAGAACCCACCTCGAGTAGACCGGCCCATTTTTGGGCAGTCTCGCTGATGGGATCTACCAGCACAGCAATCTGGTACAACGCTGTTGCGTTGTCACCGAACTGGAAAGTCGAGTATCGGTCATCCAGCAGCTGATAGCTGCGTTGTCTCGGACGTTTAGGAGGGTCGAAGATCCCTCCGCCTCCGGGTTCTGGTGCCTCCAATGCGGCGACGATGGACACACAGGCAGATATCAGTGCAGCCGAGGTCGCACTACGAATGATGATCAGGCCGGATCCTGCAGCAATAGCAGACGAAGCGCTCACCGATCCAGTTCTCTGAGATCAGGCTTGATGGTCTCCAAAGCCACGATCACTGGCTCAGCTCGTTTCCGCAGCTCGAATGTCTCCAATGCTCTGAAATCGGCCGCGGAGAAGTCCTTGGGAGCAATAGGCCCAACAATCTTATGCCTCAGGTCAGTCTGAGATCTAAGCACCACGAGAAGGGCACGTACACGGCCGTTCACGATTACGATCTGTTGGCCTGGAGCAAGCTCAAGCTCTCGCAGAACTAAACGTCCCCCATTCACCGACCGGACATACTCGTCCCAGGAGAAGTCAGCTCCGCTGGTGAGTTCATCGGCAGTCTGAGTTCCGTCGCTCTGAATCACCAAGCCGGGCTCCAATGCCTGCAGAAGCTTGGCTGGGGTTGCCTTGGACAGCAAATTTTTCACGACGAGATGCGAAAGGAGCCAGGACTTTGGCGGCCTGACCGAAGAATCCAGCTCGATTGTACTCGGATTGTGGATGAAGGAGAGTCGCATCTTGGAGTTCTCGTCCTGAGACACGCGGTCGCGTCAGGGCTGTGACAGTTGCGAGGTGCCACGCTACTCACGAACGACTGCAGTGCCTCCTTGACCAAATCCAGTCCACCTTCGCTGTCCAGATCCGCGACGACATAGACGGTCAGCGGGAGCATTTCCGTCTCGGCTGCGAATCAGGTCAATATTCCCAGTTCCTCATCTCGAGTGCACGCTTACCAGGATAAACAAAAGATCCAGGCAGGACCTTGAACCCTGTGCGTCTGAACGTGTCGGGGAGGTTGAATATCCTGACCGCAGTCTCTGGGAAGATATATTTGTTTCTCCGGAGGCTGGTGGTGGGCTGGTCGTAGAAGTACGTCGAGATGTGCTGGGCGGTTTCCTCCGTGATCTTGCCGTTGTAAAGCTCCTCCTGCAAGTGCTGGGTCTGGGGTGCTATCTCCATCTGCATCCCTCGCCAGAATCCCTAGAGCGGCATGAATGAGCAAAGGGAACGCGCGCATCGAGTACGGCTCACTTCATCCACGTCGAGGTGCTTCCCATTGACGAAACTGTGTCCCTTGCTTGAAGCAGCGAGTGTTGCGCCAAGCCGCTCGGCATAGCTGCGCCCTTTGGCCACCACCATCGTTTCAGGGCTGTCCTCTGCGAGAACGGCATCAAAGTCCACAGGCTTCGCTGCCTCGGCATCCTGGGGATCATTGAGCAGCAGCTCGGTCGAAAACGCAAATTTGATCGCATCCCAATCGAGCTTGCCGTCCGTGATCGAATTCATGACCTGCACCGATTAAGAACAGGATTCGAGCCACAACACATAGTCTTACCGAGGTCAGGAAACTCATCGTCCGCTTCCGGCCATAGTTCTTCACACCATGGTAGAACAACTTGGCCATCTTCTTGCCGTCCTCTGTCTCGGTGATGGGCACGATGCCGAACCGCAGAGGGAAGCTGCGGCTGACGACGTTGGCCACCGCGCCCGTGATCATGTTGAGACTGGCCGGCGACGACAGATCCAGCACGAGCACGATGTTGAACATGTTCAGTTTGATCTGGTGGAACTGGCCAGGATACAGCGGGCGGAGAAGCTACTTGTTTTGCCGCGTCAGCGACGAAGGAAAGCAGCGGACGCAACGCACAGTCTGGATGTTCGCCGACCACCCCGCATACCGGCTGTCCTTCTCAAGGTCATTCCACCACACAATCACCTCGCCTCCCTCGGGGCGGTCGCTGGCATCGAAGAGATTGTCCATAACGGCGGCGCTTTCGCTGCTGCTCCCGGAAGGATGTGCGACCAGATCAATCGCCTCCATCCGCGACAGACCGAGGGCCGTTAGCGAAGTCAAAACCGTGCGCTCCTTTCTGACGAAGCGGAGCAAGCCGAGCGGATTGATGTCCTTCTCCGTGAGCGACGCTCCGTTGACCCAGAACGCATTGACACCCGCCTGGGCTTTGAGCTGGTTGGCGTGGACCTCCTCTTGGAGGCTCGAGTTGACGACAACCTTGCGTGAAAGCGGTACCATGTATTTGGGGAAGTTTTGAGCGAGCTGGCCCATCGTCACAAGCGGGTCGTCCGAATCCGCAATCAGTTGTGTGGCTTGGAAGCCGAGAGCTGGTGAAGGTTAGCGACAATCACTATTAGCTATTGGCACGACGGACCGGCCAAGGCTGCTGCAGTCATCTCGGTTGCAGGAGTCTCCGGCTCAGGGTAGGAGTCGATCAGAGCCATGACAGGATCGACAACGACAGCCTCTTCAGGAGTGTTCTCGCGAGCAGCGGAGCCTGACGATTGTTGCCTGTCATCCACAGCCAGATAGTCCATCTTCTTCAGGTCGAGGGCGACCCCATAGCCAGACAGAAAGTTGCGCGAGCCGGTACTCGGTCCTGGAATCGGGCGGAACACGTATTCGACTGGATGTACGGGTCTATCGGCCAGCGCATACAGATACGAGTGCAGTTCACGGAAGTTGGCGGAGTCGAGAGATGCGTAGAGGATAGCTGTGCGAGGAGGAATGTCGAGCGTCCGCGCGGGCGGTGGATATACGTGGTCGAATGCCAACAGCTTCGGTCGCGTGAACCTGCAAAGCGTCAGGTCGCGGCAGCCGAGCTTTCGGCAACACTCACGTCGTGTCCGCGGACCCAATGGTGTCGACACCCGCAAGCTGGGTGAGCTGCGCGACGTCGCACACAGCCTGGCCGTACCAGTCCACCCACGATCCACACCCGGGATCCCGCTCGCGCGGATACGCGTTGTAGAACGCCTGCAGCTTCGGCGTCGCGGTGTGCAGTCCGAGGTTCATCTCCACGAGGGCAAGTGCCCCGGGCGCGGAGAGGAATCCATTCGTCGCGGCTACCTGGAGTGCGTATTGGTGTACCGCCTCCTCGGGAAGCGGTGTCTTGGAGAGGGCGGCTGGGTCGGTGACGCGGTCGAGGAAGGGGAAGAAAGCGTCCGCATTTTCGGAGGCGACCGTTTCTCTGGGTGACTGGTGGGTTTGCGGCAGCGGAGAGGAGGGATGGAACGCACATTATTTCGAGCAGCAGTGGAGATGCTTCCCAAGAAGATTTTAGAGTCACTTTCACTGGTGGGCTCGCAGCAGCCACGGTCAAGGCGAAGGCCAGGACGAAGTGTGCCCCGGACTTCATCCTCAAAGTCCTATGCACGGCTGGATGGTAACTGGAAGCACTGACAATAAATGTATCAAGCGCTGAGTTTGGACGTGTTCGACACGTCGCGTCTAGGGCGATAGGGTTAGGGTCCCGTTTAGATAAGCCTCGTCAAGCACGTGCCAACTCTCGAGCGTCTCTTCAGGCCTCTTGTCCTTCCAGCCACCGCCTTTCAGTAGATTCAGGACCGCAGTCCATCTCAGTATGCCTATTTTATCGCAAAGGAGAGGATAAAATCTTTCTTATGATTTCCGAACATGCGGAGCTTCGAAGCGCGTTCGTCGCGGCGGCGGAAATCTCAAGTCTATCGCAATCTGGAGCGGAACCAAGTGTGCTGGCAGGCAACGATCGATACTCTGCGGCTAAATGAACCACGCTCCACAATGGATGTAGGGACTACTCTCAGTATGTCCCACCTATAGTGTACAGACACACGGTGGCGACTGAGGTGAGTCTGCCTCCCACTTGAGTGCATCCGTGTCAGCCACTCCGCTCCCTTCCTTTCTGCGTGCTGCAACTGCACGAACTCCAGATAACTCAACCCGCCGCATGCTTGAAGAAACTTCTCAGCAGAGTCAAGGTGCGTGTTGCTCAAAGTGCCTGAATCGACTGTCTCGCCTCCGCGCGACTCTCACCATGCATCGCAGTCGCCCTGCTTATTCCGCCTCTTGCCAGCCCCTCGTTGCCCTATACCACAGCGTCTACCCCCAGACGTCTCCAAAATATAGATTTATTGTACGCTCGTTTGATCCTGTCTGCCTTAGCGCGCGATCCGCATGCCATACGGCCTCATCGCTCCTTCGCATAGCCACGCACACACCGCAGACAACGGCCGCTACGAGCCGACATCCGGCGTCCCTGGGACATGTTTCGTGACGACGAGGACGACGAGCCTCGACGAGCTCGCGGATCCCATGGTAAACATCTAGGCACCTGCACAGAGATCGGCACAGCCGGTTCGAAAACGGTCCCTGACGCAGCTGTGACCGTTCCTTCTCGACCCTTGCATGCGCGTGGCGGATACACGTACTCCCCCTGCACCCAGAAGAACTCGGAGCCGGGTCTGGGCACGCGAATGAGCCGGAGCGGTGCCACACCTCCCCATGTAAGCGAGATGCGGAGCCATACGCGCCTTCATCGACCCTCACGTCCCGTGCCAACAGCTGCGTCGCGACCTCACGGACGGGTCCCAGCATCACGTGGTATTTCCCTCTGCGATTCCCATCCCTCTGTCTGGACCTCGATGGGACGGCGACGTTCCCGATCGCGTTTCCCCCCCGTGCGTCGGGCTCTTCGCGGCGGCCCCCCTTGAGGTTGGGCTGGACCCGACGCTCGCCACAGAAAAGGGCGCTCTGCGCCGGTGATCGGAGGGGTTAGAACTCATAAACATTATCCACGCTACATCCATCCAGTCGTTTGATCGAGTCGGCGACTGAACACCTGTTATCCCGATATGGTGTTTTCCTGTCCGCTTCGATTTGATGGCACGATCACGTGGGGTCATGCTGTTATCCCCGACGTCCCCTATTTCGTCGAGAATCAATCTGAAGCTTCTTCTCGAGCCCCTCTCCACTGACACCGACGGAGGTGCACCCAGTGCGAGTGTGCGGGGATCGGGACCCTCTCGTGCGCTGTGCCCACGTGGTAGACCGAAGCGCATGATCATGACACTCCGAACGGCCGGTCAACGGCGCAGAGATGACGCGCGTGCCGCCAGCATCCCCAAAGCTTGAGTGCGCCGTGCGGGTGGCTCAGGGAGTGCACCCGGTGCGATGCGACGACATGGAAACGAGGCGACGAGGGGTGGTGTTGCGACAGAAGTTTCGTCATGCATATGCCGGGAGAACGTAGCGATGCGCAGGGTTCGTTTGTCGACGGTCACCGAGCCCACGCGATACGATAATTCAAACATGGCAGTCAGCAGACCACACTCGTATTGCAGCAAGCTTCTCGCCGACCTCCGGTATGTATGTACACATACCAACGTGCTTTACGAGCTGTCCGCACCCCAATTCCTCGGCAGAGGGGTCCGGCCGGCTGTGAAGCGAACAGGGTCGGTCCACGCCCGTGATGGACGGACGGGCCAGAGCCTCTGGTGGGTCTCCGAATCGCCCACGCATTGATTACGGACGAGGCTCCTCAGTCCCTGACAGATAGGATGCAATGTCGGAGCTACGGGATTAGTTACCCGGTTCAGAACTCGATTCCGTTTTTCCTTCTGGCCCCAGCTGCGTGGGCGGGTCCTCGAATTTCTCTCCCAGCTCGACCAACGACGTGAAAAGGCCCACCACATCCACCGTGCGGGCTGTCAGTGTGCAGCGGTGGCTGTGAGTTCCCACGGTTGAACTGCTCTGCCGCCGCTGTTTCCATCCCAGCGCGGATGTCCCGAGAATCGAATTCCGATCACCCTGTCAAAAGGAATACCGTGCTTCCATGCTGGGTCCGGTGGGGTGTGCTGGTACAATGGTAGGCAAGCAAGAGCCCGGGTGCAGTAGCCTGGGCGAATATGCTGTGATCTACCGATGCATTAGGCCGAGCAATCGGCCTAAGCTGCGCTGTACGGTATAAAAAGGTGATCCATTCGCAGCAGATTCCAGACAGAAACCCACCCGCCGCCGCAAGATGCACACCTTCGCCACTCTCTTCGCTCTCCAACTCGCCCTCGTGTCCGGCGCCCTCGGTGCGCCCACCGCGAACGTTCCCCGCGCAGCCTGCGCGGACGTCATGGTACGTGCCCCCACCCGAGCGACATGCCATGATGTCCATAATTCATGCTCACTCCCTGCTGCAGGTCATCTTCGCGCGCGGCACGACCGAGGCTCCGCCGATCGGGACCGTCGCCGGCCCACCGCTCCAGTCTGCGCTCACCAGCGCGCTCCGCAGCTCGGGCAAAACGCTCTCGTTTGCGGGCGTCAGCTATCCTGCCGACGTGCCGGGATTTTTGGCTGGCGGCGACCCGCAGGGCTCGAAGACCATGGCCGCTGACGTGAGTCGCGTGTATTTTCAGCATGTCAGAGAACTTGGTTGCTCATTTGTTCAGCTCACGAACGCGGCGAACTCGTGCCCCAAAGTGCGTCGATGGTCTCCGAAAGAGTCTTGCCTTTGAGTGCTGATGTTTTTCCCAGGCCGCGCTTGTGACGGTCGGCTACAGCCAGGGCGGCCAACTGGTCCACAACTCGGCCAAAATGTTGTCCTCCACCGTATCGTCCCGGATCAAAGCCGCAGTGATCTTCGTGCGTGTCTCGCTCCTGATGCGCAACTCTAGGAGTACTGAGACGGGTGCACACAGGGCGACCCCGACAATGGCACGGCCGTCGCGGGCGTCAGCGCGGCGAACACTAAGATCATATGCCACACTGGCGACAATATCTGCGCTCACGGAGACCTCATCCTGCCGCCGCACTTGTATGTCGTCTCTCCATCCGAGTTGATGCGCATGGGTCTCACCGCACTTTTCAGGACGTACGGCCAGGATGCGTCGTCTGCTGCTGCTTTCATTGTCAGCAAGGTGTAGTTAAACTCGTGGATTGTGATCCACCAAATTCGAACGTAAAGAGAGAAAGGATAGTGTAGGCTGTGAGAGAATGTTTTACTCTATGAAATTTGTAATATCATATATAAGAACTCGAAACAAACATTCGTTTTGCTCTTTCACACTGCGGCATGACCGGGACTCTCTGCGAGAATATGACATCCCTCCAAGCCGAGTCGAGTGCAGCCGGAGTGACGGACACTTGTGGCGAATAGAATTACTCATCAATCCACTTGAACCCCGTCGAATTCAGTTTGCATTTCATAAATCCAATTCTTTTGCATGACATTCTTTTTCTTATTCACCAAGAACCACCATCCGCCCACCGAAAGCCAAACCGCGAACACGTGAGCGTCGAGGTTGAACCCAGATCACGTGCCGATGCTCAAACCTTGCTGGCGATGAAAGCGGCCGCGGTGGGCGTGTCCATGCCATAGTTCCTAGGAGCAGAAACACGCATCAGAAATGAGTTGGATAGCATCGCATTTACGCACAGATGGGGCGGCAAGACGATGATCCCGTGCGCACAGATGTTGTCACCAGTATGGCAGATGACGAGTGTCTTGGACGCGCTAACGCCGGCCACCGGCGAGCCGTCGTCGGGGTCGCCCTGTTATTTCGTCAGCTCGATTTGACGCCTACTGAGGCGGGGGCTGCGACGCACGAAGATGACCGCGGCGTTGATGCGCGCCTGGACCTTGGCCGACAAGAGTTTGGCCGAGTTGTGCACCAGCTGGCCGCCTTGGCTGTACCCAGCCGTGACGAGAGCGGACTATACGCGCAAAAACACGCAACATCAGTAGCCGTTGCTTCGAGATGCACAGAAACAAACGCACGTTCGGGCATGAGTTCGCCGCGTTGGTCAGCTGCAAAAGCCGCGTCAAAACGAGCCGATCGGAGGGAAAGCATAATCAGGAGCGACTTGCATCGTTAGCCATGTTCTGCGAGCCCTGCGGATCCCCGCCCTCCAAAAATCCGGGAATGTTCGCGGCGTAGGTGACGCCGTTGAACGCGAGGGTCTTGCTCCCCAGCAGGCCCTGCAGCGCGGACTTCAACCCGGGACCAACAACGCTGCCGATCGGTGCAGTCTCCGTCGTCCCGCGCGCGTAGATGACCTGGACGTTAGGGAGTCAATCCGGCCGTGTTCGCCGCGACGCGACTAGCGCCACTTACGATCACGTCTGCGCAGGTGGCGCGGGGCTCGTTGACTGGGGCTGCGAGCACCACCGCGAGGGAGGCGAGGCCGAGGAGAGCAGAGAGCGAGAACTTCATGGCTGGAGGGGCTGCTGGTACTGGCACGAATTTTCCAACACCGTTACGCCCAGCTTTTATGCTCCTCGAGGAGCATGTGCGCGCTCTGTCTTGGCTCGATCCCCGCGAGGACGCATCGGTCACGGCTGCCCTCCCCGGACCCGAAAGCAGGCGTCGCAGGTCAGCACCCTCGAGCACGGGACCGCACTTGTGAGCGGCGACCGTGAAAAAACATGACAGGTGCCTACCGGCCCCCGGCTATTACGACGACCAGGTTTGCCCGTCGCTCGAGTCTAGCTGAGTTTCTACCAAGACAGAGATGTGGATGGCGCTCGAAGGGGGCTGTCACATGAGAGGGTGGTCAGCGCGGGTGCTGTCAGCGCGGGCAGATGATCTTAGGGAGGTTCGAGAACAACGTTCCCTCCCATATTTCAGCGGATTTTGAGGGTGACAGTCAACGAGGATAGAAGATCACATGAAGACACAAGCCAGGCAGACTCGCGCGCGCTTTACCCCCGGTCCAAGCCCAGATAAACAGGAGTGTCGACAGTTGAAGGCGGTCAGTGGGCGCTTGTGGGTGTCATTGCTCAGTGCTAATTCGCGTACGTCAGTTGGCCCGTAAGATTGGCGCTACTTGCAGATGACCCGGTTTAGTCCGGCCGCCTGAATGGCCCGACGATCGGATCCCGGCGTCGGAGCTTGGCTTTGCTTGGGCACAGCCCAACTTCTTTTACTGACCGCCTCGGCACACACGGGTTATTTCGGGCAGATTTTGTCTTGCCAACAGGTTTTTTCTTGAGCTCCCCAGTGCCCACACGTGAAGCAGATCAGAACACTGATTATTCCACTCTGCCATGGTTATCCAATACTTGGAACTTGGCGCCGAGTTCGGCCCAAACACCCAACGATCATTCTCACGTTAAAAGGGCGCATGCAGCAATTTGACTGTGACACTGGAAGAGAAAAGGTTTGCTCAGGGAGCCACCTGGGCATTGTGTATTGGGCAGCGGGGGGCGGGGGAAGAACTGATAGCAGTTGTTATGCAAGTCATTATTAGCTATCGATGAGATGCGAAGTGCGTTGTTCATTTGCGACATGGTCTCCCTCCCTGGAGTATGCTGCCCCTGCTCGAAACTACACAATCCTTCCACTTGCACAGTCAATCATTCTCCAGTCTATAGTGACGGCGAAATTAGTTGTCCCACCCCTAGTCCGGTGCATCATGCAGTGAGGTGATCTCAGGCAGCGATAGACTTCGAGGCTGATCCATATTCCAGCGCCACTGGGTCTATCTGGGACCAGACCTTGGAAACGACTCGTGCACAGATAGATCTGACATGACAAACTATCGCTAGGCATATCGGCGCGATCCAGCTCGAAATGACATCTCTCCGTCAGTCGTACGACAGCGGTTACGGGTGCGAACAGAGCTGGCGACTCTGGAAAGTGCGATCCCACTACTATGGAGCCGCATGTTCGATCAAAGCCGGTCCTGAGCCGTTGGCCAGTTACTCGAAGAAATCACATTTCCGTGCGTGTCCGTGGCCATGTAGGGTTACACCTGTATGCGACTTGACATGGGATTGACCTCCCAGTAATTGGCTATAAGCGGCCAAGGTTTCGCGGTCACGTGGATCTTGCTCATCAAGATCGGTACTGATACATTAGAATCTACTATACATCGTGAGGATGTGCTACTAGCTTCAGGCCACTGACACCTTTCTTCACTCTCTCCACACCATCGGGGATACTCGCCAGCCCACCCGGAAGTATCTCGTATTTTACGCCCTGACAGTGCGTTAATACCAGCCGGGGTACTGCACAACGCACTCACCTTCAGGACACCCTTGCTGATCAAAGCCGAGAAGTTCTCGATAACATGCTTCCCGAACTTGGTGTGCTCGGCTGTCCCCGCGTAGACCGGGATCTTCGACGTGTTGTACGGGAAAACGTCCGGCCCGTAATAGACGCCGAAGACCTTGACGAGCGTGATGTTTTTGCCTGAGCGGGTCAAGGGGACCATCGGCAGTGCGGTGACGACGCCGCCCTTGTCGAGCGCGCAGTCGTATGCTACGTCGATCAACCCGCATGCGTCGTACACGACGTCGAACGTCGCGCCGAGCAGCCCGCTGAGGTCAGTGCTGGGCACGGTCGTCCGGTCGACGCACTCGGTCGCACCCAACCCCTTGAGAAGTTCCGAGTGCTTCCCAGATGCGTAGGACACGATCCGCGTAAATCCGACGAAGCGGAGCAGTTGGATGGCTGGCGGGGTTGAGCGACAGGCAAATGAGCCATCGACCGACTGGTCGCCGGTCACCACTCACCGAACTGCCCGAGAACCGACGATCCCCCGAGGACGAGTGCAGATTTGCCGCTGTACGTCGGTTGCTCCCACGAAAGCTCAGGGTTCAGGTTGAGACCTATCGGATTCGGCGCGTACAGCCCCACGCACGCAGCTGCAAACCCAGTCGGATATGTCGCGATATCATCCAGATTCGAGTCCTGGGGGACACGAAGCAAGGTGCCCGCGGGCAGGACCGCGTACTGCTGGTATCCATACCCGAGCGTGCCCGCACAGCTGTCTTATGGGTCAGCGCGATCATTTCCTCGCTGCGATGCAACCGACGACGACTCACACTTTGTCGCCGATCGCGAAACCCGTCACGCCCTCGCCCAGTGCGTCGACGACGCCTGCGATGTCGCCCCCAAGGACGGCGGGATAGCTATCGACGAGGATGTTGTAGTCGCGCTGCCCTGCGCTGAGCGGCGCGATGCCCGTCGAGAGGACCTTGACGCGGACCTCGCCCTTGCCGGGATCGCCCTTGGGGATGGTTTTGAGAACCATGGGCTGTTGGGGTGCATCGATGACGACAGCTTGTTGAGTGGCCATGATAATGTTAATGTTGCCGCGGTGGATTTCGTGGCGAGCGTTTTATAGGAGGTCCCAAGGAAGGAGAAACGGAGCGATTACTCAGTCATGTCATCGATGTGACCGGTCTTTTTGCACCATTCATAAGCCAAATGGGCACTCTTCGCGCAAGTCCTGCTACGAAGAGTATGATCTACAGGCGACACATGGAATTTAATCGTAGCTGAGGCTTCTCGCCACTCCTTCACACAAGCGGTGATCCCTGTTCATCAGCGGCATCTTGTCTGCAGTCCGGCGGCCGTTCATCCGGTGCTTCCAGGAGATATCCGCTTTTCACTCCAGCATCCCAAACAGCCCAAGCACAGCGACTGGCGCAGGACCGCCTTCGCGAGGCCGAGTTTGCCCACAATACGCTAGGGCGTGTCGTGAAGGATGCCACGTAACCGCTGTTGCAGGTGCCGATGTTGGCACGCGGTGCAACGAAAGCCCAGTCTCTGTTCCGCACTGGTATCACAATTAGTAATGGAAAGTAGCCAGAACCGATCAGCGCACGATTTCGACATAAGAACCTGCGCTGCCAATAGCAAGGTACTCTCCGTCATGCGAGAAGCTGATACCATTTATCCTGTGGCTTTTTACCGCAAGTCAGAAGAAAGTCGAGGAGCGCGGCGAATACGAACTCGCAAGCAGTAATCGTGTGAGTGCAAATCCATTCTTCGACGTCAAACAAGTTGACGATCGAGTCGAAGCCTCCAGATGCGAGATATCTGCCACATGAGATGAATGCTGAAAAAAGTCGGATACAGACATACATACCGCCCTCGAGGATCCAGTGCAAGAGCCATGCAGCCTCCCGGATGAGCAGGCAGCTCCTCTTTTCTTGTCAAAGAAGGATAGTCGAGGATGCGCAGGCTGGTCTCGGAATAATACGTCGTGGCGAACCCATCTCCAGAATGGTTCCACAAAGCAAACGACGCGACGGTGCGCTGCGTTGGATTCTGCCGCCAGATCTCCTTGCTGTCCTCTCCCTCCTTGAGGAGATCGAGGAAGAAAAGACTATGTCCAGCAGACGTGTAGAGGAGCGTGCGACCGTTGGGCGAGTAGCTTGTGAGCATAGGCGATACCTTGAGCGGGACAGACTGCGTATACCGACTTTCTGTCGTCGGATCCCGAGTTTCAGGCTATCTGTTCGATATGAGACGTGGACCGACTCACGTCGCGCGTCCCAGAAGACGATCCTACGATCTTTCTGGCTTGAGGTGCAAAACAGGTCCGGATGTGTGGGGTTCCAGGACACGTAGTCCACATCGTCCTGGTGCCCGCCCGAGAACACAGTCGCGTGTTTCTGCTCCATCTACGCGTCGGGGTGTCAGTCAGTCCCGGCCGTGTTCCGCGACGCGTAAGGAGACGCACGCACGCCCTTTTCGGGGACCCAAACGCGCGTGACCTTGTCGATGCCCACGGCTGCGAGGCGCTTGCCGTCGCAGCTCCAGGCGACGTGGTTCATGGCATGCGAGCTGTTGAAGCGGTATTCCCGGGGTTTGAAGGTCGGGAAGGACGGGGGCTGCGCTGTGGGTTGGGAGAGAGCGATGAAGATGTCCTGGGGAGCGTACTAGGATTCCGCGCGTCGAGAATGTCGTGTGTGGAGGTGGTGACGGTACGCGCTGAGGCTCAGGAGTGTCTTCTGGCTCTTTCGGAGTCGACATGATGATATATGGGTTTGAATCTGGTGAGGGCTGCGCCAAAAGATACGTCAACCCTAACCCCAACCAACTCTCTTTGATCTCGTCCACTTCGCGCCATGGATTCACGACCGGATACACCAGAGCCCCCGCCACAAGACCTATGGGGCTCCATCCTCGACTCTGTGTCATCCTCACGTGCTATACCCTCGAAGCAGGTGCTCTTATTAGGGCAGCCGCGCACAGGCAAATCCACCATAGCTGCGGGCTTGCTGCAGAAACCGGTCGTGGAAGAGAAGGACGATCATACGACGGACTTTGCTATCGGGTACGACTTTAGCAACGTACGTGACGATGCGGATGAGGGTGAGCCGGATTTTGTGCGGCGCTCTGCGTGATATCGAGCGCGTTCGCAGATACTCTTGCGCGCCTTTCGGTGTACACCGTGCCCTCTTCGGCACCAGAATACACATCGCTCTTACCACATTTCGTCCCCCCAAGAACAGCGCTCCCGAATACACTCGTGATGATCGTGCTGGACTGGACGCGTCCTTGGACATTCGTGGAGGAACTCGAGACATGGTTACAGTGGGTCGAGCAATGGGCAACGGGCGATAAATCGAGAGAACTGGAGATTGTGCGCGAGGAGAGTCGAGAGCGACGTGAGTTGCTGGTTCTATTATTGTTCGTAGACGCCTTCAACTCATGGGGGTTCTGCTCCAGTGCAAGCACATTTGCAGTACTATACCGAGCCCGCCACGGATCCCACCCCTGCTCCTTCGTCAATATCCGGAAGCACGATTCTACCTCTGGGCTCGGGAACGCTGACGCATAACGCGAGTGGCGTGCCGATCGTGGTTGTATGCAGCAAAGCTGACCTCATCGACGAGGGAGGGGACCCTGTTGCAAGTTCGACTGGGATGGGAGGTATGGTGCGAGGGAAGGGTGGAGAATGGGAAGAGCGCACGGATGGTATCATGCAGGTCCTCCGGACAATATGCTTGAAATGTCTGTTCCGTCTCGTCTTCCGTTCTTCCTTGTCTAATACTCACAAACTTGAAGACGGGGCATCTCTGTTCTATACGACACAACAACCGTCAACGCTTCAAATTCTGCGACAGTATGCACTCCATATGTTGTTCATACCACCAGCACCCTCGCCTGCAGTTACTTCTGGTTCTGAAGCTCCGGCGCCTGGCCGGAATCCGTTTCCATTCCCCCATAAAGCCAACTATCTTGATCGTGACCGTATCATTGTTCCTGCCGGCTGGGACAGCTGGGGGAAGATCACCATCATGCGTGAAGGATTTGAAGCACGGACCTGGGGCGAGGCCTGGGAGCGCGACCTGGAGGCTGAGGGCGGTGAGAGCGCGAATGATGGTGCCAAAGCCATGTTTGTTTCGCTGGTCCCAGACCAAGGAACCAAGGTCAGCTGCTCCAATCTCATGAAAAGAAGGATGTATTCTGACACAGTCGAGCAGCCACCTACGCTTCCCTCGCTAATAAGCCCCACCTCAGAGCAGGTCTTCCTCGCCAAGCACTGGGACGAAAACTCGAAGAAACCGGACCGCGATCCCCGTGGTGCTTTCCGAGACCCTCAAGAACTTGCTCGCAGCGCAGCCGGCTTGGTCGGCCCACTTGGAGCACCCAGCTTCGATCTACCGACTGTCGATCGGGTTCTTTCGGAGATGGAAATCGGTATCGGGGGTGGGACTATTTCAGCTCCAGCTCGGCCTGCTGCCGGCGCATCTGCTGCAACGCGGCGGCCTACAGCGCTGGCTTCGTCGACAGCAGGAGCGCCCCGGCCAGCCGCCAATGTTCCCAGTCCAACTTCTGCTGGCGGAAGTCAGACTCAGCACGAAGTTCTTCAGAACTTCTTCGCGAGTCTGTTGAGCTCGAAGGATCGAGGAGCAGCCAAGAAAGTGAACGGGGTTGGCTCTAGTCCTCCTGGTGCCTCCGCAAGTAATGGAACAGCGGCGGAAGAGTCTGATACGTAGTGGTAGTCGGGAACTCTTTCATATCGCGAGGTCTAGGAGCTCCACGACACATTTTTCACGCCCTAAAGGATAAGAAGCAAGACGCATTCATCAGACACGTCGAAATCACTGAACCATTGAACACATGATTTCTGGAACGCATCACGTTGCCGATCCAGGCTCTTCCCCACCCACTCGTTTCGGTGTTGACCCACTTGTGCTCTACATCCTATTTCTATGCTACCCCGCCTTCTTTAAACATGCTATCTAACTCTGTAGGCCCGCGGCCCCGCCCACCCGGTCGCATCCGGCGGTCCGTTTCCAGTACAATGCAACTGGGCTCTTCCCCTCCCCCTTCCTACACCTCGTCTCTCGCTGTGCGGTCCGAAAATGTCACACCTTCTCCGAAATACCTGGGCTCTCCCCTACCAGCAACACTCCAAATGGTAGAGCTGGGGGAAGAGGATGCGGATTGGTTGAACGAGAAGTCGCGCGAGGAGCTGACGGAGTTACTCCTTAAAGCCGGGGATCTCATCAAGGAGCGTGAAACGGGTACGTGCACCAGTATCTCGTATCTGCGAGCTGTCCTGCATGTCTTCCAGGGCTCAGTCTCACGTCTGCGCTGCGCAAGACCTTGCATGAAAGCAATGTCTCACTGAAAGACAAACACGATGCGTTGGTCGCCCGGCTTCCATCCACTCCACCTCTCCTATCGCCCCACGTATCGTTCTCTGAAAGCCCCGAATCGTCGCCGCACGACCTCGTGCAGGACTCCGACCGTTCCCCACGCGTGTATCTCAAACGCCACTCGCGGAAGATTTCCGTTTCTCCGGCAGACCTCTCGCACCTCGCCGACCAGAATGCAGAGCTCGTGAACAAGATCGACACTCTGGAATCGGAGGCGCTAGCGACGGAACGCTCGAGCCGGCGTGCGCTGAAACAGCTGGAGAAAGAGCTGCAGTTGCTGCGCGACGAGCTGGAGAAAACGCAGGCGCGGAGCGAGCAGCTGGAGAAGAACGCACAGGTGGACACGGAGAAGATTGTCGAAGAGATGCTGCGCAAGAAGAAAGAGCGGCAGGCCAGATTCCGATCGATGCGCAGGAGTGCCAGTGCCTATAGTCCCGGTTCATCCAGCCTCTTTGGATCCGAGGTCCGGGATTTCGCTCCACCGCCGTTCTCTCTATCGCCTTCCCGCAATGTGGCGAAGTCCAGAACAGACTACGATTCGGATGAAGAGGTGCAGACGGAGACTGAGGCCAATCAACCGTCTCAGACGCTCGTTTCGCAACTACTCTCGAAAATCAGGGAGCTCGAGGACACGAATTCGCATATCTTGCAGCAGCAGTCAGAGACTGCGGACAAGCTGCAGGCTGTCCAGCGAGAAACGGAGAGCATCAGCAAGGTTTACGAGTGCTTCAACGTAGAGCATGGCGTCGAGTGGGAAATGGTCGGGGAAGCTGGCAAGAAAACACCTCTGGAAGGGACTATCCGGTTTAAGAGCTTTCGCCGGTCGCTGGAAATCGATCCCGACGACGTGCCGAGTATAAACCTTCCTCGGTCCAAGGCGCGCAAGTCTATCATCGGGCTCTTCGAGGGCCCAAGCAGCGCTAAGTTTGACCGACCCCGAACCCCAGAGCTGTTTCAGGAAGATTCGGAACTGTCACCTCTCAAATTCGATCCAAATCCGCTCTTCGAGAGTACTCCTATCGGACCTTCGCTGCATAGCGAACTCGGGGATGACGGCCTCGATCCGTTCTATCGCGGCAGTGTCTACGATCTCTCTTTCTCACCTAACGGGTCTCCCTCACCTCTCCCCGGTCGTTCGATTCCCGGTGAATTCCGCCAACAGGTCACGCCTCCAGACACCCCAATACGCTCTGGTTTGCTTTTGAGTGTTGAACCGACATCTCCCTCAAGTACGGTTTCTAATGCCGGATCGCTGAGAGATCGGAACCGCGCACGGAATGCTCGCATGGCGCAAGCTCTATCCCTCCGCACGAACCGTTGGGTGGATGGGCGATTTTCCTCTCAGTCGCCAGGCAGCCTTGCAGATGAACTGGTCCGTTCTCGTGTGGAAGTCATCTCGGCGAGGCGAGTTTCTCTTCCTCAGCGATTGGCTACTGCCTTTGAGGTCGTGATGGAGAACTTTACTCGGACAAGCGACGATGACCAGACGGGGGTTATGTCTCCGGTTTCTGACGCGGGTGACCTCTCCGACAAGACCATCGTCCTCCAGCCCGGTGGACGGAAGCACACAATGGTTGCAATCTTGCTCGAAGTATGGCTCTGGCTCCAGTTCGCGATCATCATTCTGGTTTTCCTCTGGGCTATGGCCCGTCGCGGGCCAAAATCGGTGCTTGCCGAGGCGGATCGTAGGGCAGTGGTCAGCCGACGGTGAACTTCATATACATATCTTGGATATTGCACACACACACACTCACACACCATCGCCACCCACTGCGCACAGTACAGTACATACCGCATGTAATCTTTAGCTGGTCAGCAATTTGACTACCTCTTCATATCTCTTTTGTGTTCCCTGCACGACCGCTTCGTCGATCACCCAGCCGTCGCTCGTTCCCTCCGGCCCAGCCTCGAGACCTTTCCGGAAGCCGGCACCGACAAGCCAATCGCGAAGATATTGCTTGTCGAACGAAGGCTGTGACCGGCCAGCAGCATAACCCTCAAGCGGCCAATACCGAGAAGAGTCGGGTGTCAACAACTCGTCGATGAGCAGAAGCTCTGGCTCGGCGCCAGGTGAAGACGCAAACAATCCGAATTCGAACTTGGTGTCAGCCAGAATGACCCCGCGCGAATGTGCGTATGTGGACGCGTCGGTGTAGAGCGCGAGTGCAGCGGTGGAGATTTTGGCGTAGAGATCAGCGCCGACGAGAGCGGAAGCTAATAGGGGAATATTGAGGAAGATGCGCTCAAGGAGGATGGGAAAAGGACGCTGACCTTGCTCAGGCGAGATGTTCTCGTCGTGTTGGCCTTGCTCAGCTTTGGTAGACGGTGTGAACAGAGGTTCCGGAAGCTTCTGAGATTCGATGAGACCCGCGGGGAGTGTGATCCCATGAACTGTCCCAGTTTTCTTGTACTCTGCCCACGCGGAACCTGACAAGGGCCTCAAGATCAGCCACTTGCGATTTTGACTCGGAAACATACCCGTCAGATACCCTCTCACGATCGCCTCCAACGGAATGACTTGCGCCCTTTTCACCAGCATCGTGCGCCCTTCGAGCTGATCCCGGTATTCATGCACCTCCACAGGCATCTCGTCGATGTTGGCAGTGATGAAGTGATTGGGGAGCACATTCCCAAGCTTCTTGAACCAGAAGAGCGAGATCTCTGTTAACAATTTCCCTTTGTTCGGAATTCCCTGAGAAAATGTTGGAATAGAAAGACGTCAGTGGATGGCCTAAGCATGAACAGAGGAACCAACCCACATTCTTCAAGATCACATCATATGCAGAGATCCGGTCTGTCGCGACGAAGAGCAGCTTTTCCGGATCGGAGGTAGCGTAGATATCCCGGACCTTTCCTCTGGACAAGAGCTTGAGTTTTGGGAGGTCCGAGTGGGCGAGCGCCGCCGGAGTCATTTCGCGATTGATAGTGGAAAATCACAAGGCTATATCGGGAAGCGAGGAGGAGTTTTGACTTGTTGAGGCTGCGGCTTCTTCCGTGATTCCTCAGAAAATGTCCTCTTCGTCCTCGTCATCTAGTGGAAGCTCCAGAGGCTCGACGCCTGAGCCGGCTCAGAAACGCAAGCGCGAAGATGAGCAGGATGAGCAGGACTCGGATGCTGAGAGCTCGGACTCCGAATCTGAATCTGAAGCTGGAGCCGACACCGACGCCGCACCCACACCTGCGGCCGAATCCGACGATCCTGTCCTCTCGCACGCGGAGAAACGTCGCCAGAAGAAACGTGAAAAACAAGAGAAAGCAGATGCCAAGGTCTCCAAGAAACGGAAGCTAGACAATGGGTCCAGTGCGACAGACAAATCGAAGCGCCAGAACTCGGTCTGGGTCGGGAACATGTCGTTCAAGACGACTCCGGAGGCGTTGAAGGAATTCTTCAAGGACGCAGGAGAGGTGACGAGGGTACATATGCCGACTAAGCCGAGCAGAACACCTGGGATGCGGCCTGAAAATCGAGGGTGCATCTGATGCCTTGCTTTTCACGATTCTTTTGCTGAATGGCTGACTTAGATTTGCCTACGTTGATTTCGCGACGCAAGAAGCAAAGGTCAATGCCGTGCTCATGTCGGAGAACAATCTTTTGGGCCGCAAACTACTGATCAAGGATGGTACGTATAGCACCCCCTGGTCTACGGTGCGATATGAACGCGGGCCTTCATTCATTCAGGAAGCGATTTCACCGGGAGACCCAGTGCTCCAGCTGCAGCCACCGAGGACGCGAGTGGAACCACGCACTCGAAAACGGCACAGAAGATCCTAAGGATACAAAAGCAGCCCGCTGCTCCGACGCTGTTCCTCGGAAACCTGGCGTTCCAGACAACCGAAGAAGACATCCGACAGCTTTTCAATGCTCACCGACCCAAGAAGGCGAAGGGAGATCCGGAGGAGAAGCCTGAGGAATGGATACGTAAGATTCGTATGGGGACGTTCGAGGACACGGGGAAATGCAAAGGGTGAGCGAGGCCCTCAATACCCTTCCTGACTGTGGGTGTGCTGACTACCGGAAAAGGTTCGCGTTCATCGACTTCACCACCACGGAGCACGCCACGTCTGGCCTGACGAACCCGAAGAACCACTCCCTGAACGGGCGGCAACTCGTGGTCGAGTACGCCTCGGCCGACGCGGTGCGCCGAGGCGCGGTGAAGACACACCTCAAGGACAAAGAGGGTGCTGTCGGAGGAGGAGTAGGTCCCCGCAAGAGATTCGAGCGGGATGCCCAGCCGCGCGTGCCGCGGCAGAAGTCGGAATGGCATTCGCACCCCAAGGCAGAGACCGATGCAGCGACTGAGGATGTGACGATGGACGGCAATACGCCTTCTGCGGAGCCTGCAGCGGGACGTCCACAGCGGCCGCAGAAAGGCCCCAAGCACCGGCCGAAGCCGGGAGCTGCGCTTGCGCTTGCCAAACGCGAGTCTGCCGCCATCATGCCTAGCCAGGGCAAAAAAGTCGTCTTTTGAGGCGACATCCCAGGAGCGTGCCGTGCTGTACATAGCATGTTGTGTTCTGAAATTACTGTACCGGGACTTTCAATGGGAATGAGCGAGAATGTGGTGCTGATAGTCACACTCGGCCGCTCGAATTGTCTCGAATCTCAAGTTTTGTGAATATTTGTTGTGAAAGCATGTCTCCAGTGGTCATAACGAGATAGCGACGCACGCCATGTACCTGAGATGCGGCCAAGCGCGAACAGGAGAAAGATGGTGCCTCTTATCTGAGAAACCTCTGTAGGGGACAACTTGGACCAAGCGCAAATGAGAAAGAGGTGATGATCTCGTTCAAGTCCTGTCATGTGACGTGACAGTCGCGTTCAATAACGCGTCTCAGACTGAGCTTGCCCCTGTTCGCGCCCCGGATTTCTAGCCTGTGCGCTGGAACTCCATGCTCATACCAGGCAACATCGTGATCCTGCTTTCCAATCTCGAAGCTCACCGCAGAGGTTTCTATGAAAATGGCGACAGTAGTGGGGAGGCTCTTTTTGCCCCGCCGTGCCGATGCGGATCCACGGGCACAAATCTCCTCGCGAGCAAGGCGTAGCTGCTCGCCGCGCCCTTACTCTGCCGTGTGGCTGACTCCCAAGCGCTCATTACGCCTATGGCAAGTGCGCTTTCGTAGAGTGGGAACTGTCAGGGGCAGTCTTTTTAAGTCGGCTGAGGATCGAGGGTGGTATGTTTGTGTGCCGCGATCTCTTGCGCCGTCCCTAAGGATAGAACCGAGGGCTGATGTGAGCGCTCTTTGCCCATCTATCTGATGTGCCCGAAAAAGAGTCCTTCTGACGAGCTTGCAGGACACCCCAGTGGAGATCGTGCCGCAGCGTCCGAATCTTGTCTCGGATAGTTCTCAAGCCCTCATATCTCGTGTTTGTGCTTCTTTCGCAGACGGAAGCCGAAATGCAGCTCGAAGCGACAATGACAACGATAACCTCTGCTGGTGATAATCTTGACCTGAACTCAGGAAACGTCCCGGCATCGGGCGAATGGCGTGCCAGGTTATGTTTGTCCTCCCCCATCGTGCGGCTTCAGTAGCGTTGGCTTTCACATGTTTGTTCGGGAGGGTGATCGAAATCGATATGCCTTCTGCCTGCGATGCTCTGCGGATGGAATACATGCGACGCCGGGAACAAGATGCGATCTGGCCAAGACTCTTCTCTCCCTCTTCTCTCCATTGCCGAACCGGAGTCTGCATCCACTGGTGGGGGACAAGGGCGATGACGCATCCATTGCGCAAATTCCAGACGGGGATGCCGATGGGGAAGACGGCTGCTGCAAGAGAAGCCGCTTGGCCTGTTTATGGGTGTGGTGGGGTGGCGGGAGGGGGGCGGGTTGCCCCCACGGTCCTAATGAGGAACAGCCGGGGTGTGCAAGCCATTTGCGGTATGTTCGAGAAGTGCTGTGTGTCTGATTCGATCTCCCTCACTGTCATGTCAGACTGCGGATGTCGAAGGTCGCCACAGATCTTGTGTCCGGAATCGTCCGTCGGTGTTCCCGACATACATCTAGATCTCTCTCTGTCCCTCTCATCATCTGGTGGGTGGGCCCATCTGCAGACTCTGACGCAGGTGGGAGAAACGAAATCTGGGCCTGGTTTCCTGCCGCAGATTATTACGCAGACAAGACTTGACCGACTGTAACTATCTGAGGGCTGCTGCTGAAAGCTCCGTCTTCTCTTGGAGGCCAAGTGAAGCAAATGTAATGGCTGAGACTGGAAATCGTCACGTTTGGTGCTTATTCTTGTGTTGTTCTGGGAAGCTCTGGCTTGCCAATGCTCAGCATCTTCGTCTCCGTCCCTCATAGGAGGTGGACTGGGCACTCGGCGCAAGAATATGTTCCCGAGCTTCACAGACATTGTCCCCGCTCGACGGCGCGCCATTAGATTGCCGGCTCTGTGCACTGAAACAACTTTATCTGGAAATGAATCACATGCGCGCCGGCGTTCGAAGTCTTCGCGCCTTTCTCTGCTACATCCGGTGCCCGGCTGAACTCGGCGCTGGCCGAGGCAGAGGTTGTTCCCTCGTCTAATCTGGTCGAGGACGGAGTGAGAGCTGATATCTTCATTGGGATAGTGGCAGATTACGATCGAGGACAAAGAAACGAGACGTCAAGAAAAGTTCTGGGGCCAACTGGGGCGGAGAATCTGCGCAAGCACGGGGTCAGCGGGGCCGGCCTGAAGTGGAAGCCGAGACTCGATGCGAGCCGGGGGGCAGAGCGATCTCCAGTCGCGTTGCACATGATATCCGACTTTCTTACAAATTCACCGGCACCAGCGTCAACCTGAGATTCGAGATGGGACCCTCGCATCAGCATCGGTCATTATGTCCGAGCCTGATTGCGGACGGAAGTGACGTGCACAATCTCTGAGCCGGGGGAGACAGGTGGATCGAAAACGGACAATTCGTCCGATCCTTGCAACCTACGCTTGCGTAGGTCTCGCGCATATACTCCTATTCAAGAACAGCGCCTGTTTCACGCATCTTCACGCACACTCCGGCCCTGCTGCTATCGAGTTCCGACCCTTGTCAGGACTTGTCTATCAATTGACAAGCACGCGGGGAGAGGTGCCCCCAAAAGGGACTGTTGACCCCCACCCTGTGTAGACTCACTCTGGAACCAAAAATTCATTCATGGAGTCCTTTTGAGTCGGACTCGACTGTGACCGACTTGTGAGTGAGCGGATCGCTTCGGTTCCTCAGTATCAGGGCTCAAGCGAGCTGAGCAGCATTGCATGCCAGAGCTACGAATAGAAATCGCCTATAATGGAGTAAAAGCCGGGCTTGGACGACCTTCCCGTCTCAGAGAAACTGCGCGCCCGAGTCTCTTGGCACGACGTCCTCGCATCCGATCCATTCCAGCCACTCTCTAACAGCGCCGAGCCCTTTCAAAAACACCTCCGACGGTCTCCCATCCTCCACTTTCCAGTACGACCCCCCAGCCAGCCGCACCACGCGCACAGTCGGGAATCCGCGCTCGACGACCGTGCGCGCACACCGGGAGCCGAGATCCGGGAGCGCGATGTAGCGCAGCAGAGGCGGGACACCGGGCCGGATCTGGTCGAGGAACGACGCAGGGTCCCTCGGCGCCGCCACGAAATCGAGCGTCAGTGCACGCACGCTGCGCGGGATCAGCCACGCAGCGAGCCCCGCGGCGAGATCGCGCGGGTACGTGATCGTGAGCGTGCGCAGCTTGGTCAGCGTCGGCAGCACGCCCCAGACGGCGGCGTCGAAGCCGGCCGTGCGCTGGTCGGCCTCCTCTCGCACGATGAGCGAGAGCTGCACCAGCTCCGATCGGGCGCGCAGGAAATCGGCGACGGCAGGGAACAGATCGGCGCTGCCCGGTCTCCGGGCCGCCCCTGAGACGGTTAGCGAGAAGAACCGGAGGAAGGGCAGGGCTCCGCCGCTGGTGGCGTGGCGGAACTGAATTGCCGGCAGACACTCGATGGTGCAGGTCAGGCTGAGCGAGTCCAGCTGCCTTGCGTCGCTCAAGATGACCGCAAACGCATTGCTGTCCGACGGGAAGTGGCCCGAGAACGAGATACTCGTCAAATTACGCAGCGAAAGCGAGTCCACCGGGAAGACCCAGGACATGTTGTGCAGCGACACAGTCCTCAGCGAGCGGTTCTGCGCAAGAAAGGCGTTTGTTGAGGTCGGATTGCCCTCTCGCGTCGAATAGGAAAGCGAATGCAACGTTTTGCAGTCAAAGTGGGTCAGATCCACCGGCGCATCTGGGCATCTGCTTCCTGGTTCAGCTCACGAAACGAAACTAGATGACCTCTGCCAAACCGCTACATACACAATCGAGAGCCCACGAATCCGCAGTGAAGACTGCTGCAGCAGTCGTAGCAAAGGTACCGTGTTTTCCGACGATCCAGAAATGTGCACGTTCCGTAGATTCACCAGTCGGTAGATCGCATTCGACAGCATTCCTGGAGAATAGATAAGACGAGGCACACACATCTGCCTTCGTTATCACCGACCTATTTGGAACGCCATCGACTCGTCCTTGCCCGTGGCATACGAAAAGACACACAACGTGCGCACCGAGCCCGAGAACGACGCGTCCTCGATGATGCGCGTCAGGATATCCGCCGTCCGTCGCGCCGCTGCGCCGGGCCCAGCATCCGCGTCATGATCGGGCGGGACGCTCAAATGCAGATCGAGCCTGCGGAAGAGCAGACGCGACGCGACCCGCGACAGGGCGTTCGGGACGGATAGGAGGGTCTTGAGATCGCGGCGCGGGAGCCAGAGTGCTATTTCGCGCCAGATTTCGTTGGAGAAGCGGGCCTGGGCGGTCAAGGTCGGGAGGGGGGCGAGGAGCTGTTGGCATGGCGTGAGAACGGGAACGGAAACGGGATCTTCAGCGGCGCGTCGGACCGACCTTCTCGACGGAGATGGAGCGGCGGTGAAGCAACGCCTTGGCTTCGGGATTGTCCGGTTCAGCGGCCAAGGCCGCTTGGAGATCTTAGGACCGAGAATTTAGCATGTTGCGGTTCGGTTTCGGCCGTGCGTATCGACATACACACACACTCAAACACACACCTTCTTGAGCGGCTAGCTGTAGGCCCGCATTCAGCCGCCTCCGTGCGCGCATGATCCGTGCTCTGGCCACATAATGCGGAGACAGGGTCGCGATTTGTAGGCAGGACTGGATCGCGTTGTCGAAGACCGGTCGAGAAGGTCTTCAGCGGCGGGGGAAGAAATGAAAATCCAGGTGACGAGAGAAGAGAAACGAGACCGACCCATCCTGAGGAAGATGACCGAGCGCATTCAAGAGCACGTCCGCCTTTTGGTTCACCGTTAAACAAAGCGCCACATCACGGATGCTCGCGTCGACGATATTGGGATTGAATACGGCGGTAGTGCCCATTTCCGCGAGGTGTTTATGGTCGTAGGGCACTGAAACCGACTGTCATCACGAATCATGGATGCGATGCCCGGGGCGGCTGGACTTCGGATTCGGAAGCATCGGACTGGGACGCCGCTCGCTGTTCCTTTCCATCTTTTTCTCGCTGGATCTTTCCGGCTTCGAGACTGTTGATGGGGGGTTCGATTGGCTTTGTGTCGAAGGAGGGTCGAGATACGCACGGGGACTGAAGAGCGAGAAATTTCTCATACGCTGTGCACCGTGATGGCACAGGACCGGTCGGCGGTCCCCACAGCGGGGCCGGTAGAAGTAGCCCAGGCCCACGGACACATAGGGTGAACATCCTCCGCCAGTCTACCTACTTTTACGTTAAATTTTTCGACATTTTGAGCAACTTTTACTCTATTTTTGGAGGGTTAATTCGAATTTTCTCCCTAAGCTTCTAGGGACTGTATTTAAGCTGTAGGAGCTTTCACCTGACCTATACCACCTCTAGGACGCACAGTATCTGTTCCCGCTACGCGTTTACGAGCCGATGGGACGTCCTTGTAGACTTTTCCGACGCCAATCCATTCCGAGAGATCCAACTCTAGGTCTGTACTCTCGTCACTGTCCGTGACTTCGAGGACAGCTGCCGACACTTCTGTCATGCCCATGTACTTCGGGAACCGGCAGGATGGCGCAGCGCTTGGGAGCCGGGAACGATGGGCAAGAAAAAACGATCAGGCAAGCGATCATTCTGATCATATCGGTTGTTAGATTCTCCGTAGACTTCCAAATTCAGTACATTTCCAGCTAAAATTAGTCTTGCTGACGACTGAAAAGACTACATGAGCCCAGATGTCTAAATTCAAGTCAGAAATGCCCAGATCAGGCCGGGTTCTACCCGATTTTACGCTGGTGCAGGGCTCAAATCTTTCAAGATCGGCAGGGATCTAGCCAAGTTTTACGCTATCTCCGGAGGCTTGCTGCCATTTTTGAGGCACTTTTACGCTATTTCCCGGAGGGTTCAAGTCAAAAATTTCGGCCAGATTTACTTTATTTCGGAGGATGTTCACCCTATGTGTCCGTGGGCCTAGTAGCCCCCGGGACTTTTATAATTTATTCAATTTCAATCATATAGCAAACGTCAACACATCGGCAAACAGCTGGGATCTTCGAAGCTCCTTTCTTGTTCTCCTCCATGACCCCATCTCGCTGACCGGCCTTCCTCACATTCCCCCATCCGCCCTAGCCCTCGTCGAACATAAGGATAACGCCTGACGTAGGTGTCTTGACGCTTGCGCGACTCTCTCAGGTCTCAATCCCTGCTAGATTCTCGCGACCCTTATCGGCTTCTCCTACCCGCCCACCACACGCATTCCGCTGCACAATTCGCTCTCTGAGTACGCTTCGAGAACAATCTCGCGACTCACTCGACCAGCCCCTCGTCTTACGCTGAGCAATCGCGTCGACTCACCCGACATCCCCCACTAGAAAACCGCTTGTACCTCACAGTCAAACACAAACCAATGGCCCTCACGAACCCGCCTTCCCCTGCTGCTTCCGACGGTTCTTCCAACTCCGTCTCCAGTGGACCTCCGCGCACGCCGGAATCCGCAGAGCACCCTCCACTCAAGTCCGAGTCCCATAACGCCGGTGGAGTCAAGCGCACCTCCAAACCTAATCGCCGTGCAAACACCGCCGAGCGGCGTGCCACGCACAACGCTGTCGAACGTCAGCGTAGAGAGACGCTGAATGGAAGGTTTCTGGTTAGCCTGTTCGGTTCTGACTGGCGTTATTGATGCTCATCTACTTTCCCCCCCTCTCCCAGGACCTCGCTGGGCTACTTCCCAATCTTTCCCAAATCCGACGCCCCTCCAAATCGGCGATCGTCAACTCGAGCATTGCCCATGTCAATGCGTCTCGCCGCCAGCGTATGATGGCTGCCGCCCAGCTACGCAGTCTCAAGCACGAGTGTGACGAGCTCCGTCACGAAGTCAATCAATGGCGCATGCGGTCCGGGATGCCATGCGTCGAAGAACCAGTCCGTTCAGAAGCGTTCAGCCTTGTTTTAAGCGGCGAACTCGAGGTCGACGTCTCTGAGCTGCTAGAAGGTGACGAGGAAGACGAGGATGATGAGTATCCGCCCACGAGTGCCCCTGCTCGCCCCTATCCGCGGGGCCAGCCTGCATCTGGCTTCAATGGCGCTTACGGCGGAGAACGCGAGGATTTTGCCCGCCCTCAGCACCCCGCTGACGTGATGGGAGCGGCCCGCTACGACGTTCCCCAGACGATATCCATTGGCGTCCCACAGCGCCAATCGCACTCTCCCCCACAGTATGCATCGCCGATGATCGCGAGCCCGACGATGGCGCCACCTCCGTTCGACCCGTCGTTGGTGTATGACACAGGGCGACATCTCCACCATCACCAGCAGATGATGCTCCAGCAACATCAACAACACGAGGAAAGTGACAAGTGGGCCTTCCACAATCCGAACCAGATTCGCCCCGGCCCGCCGGTCTGGTGACCGATTGCATGTATTTCTAGTATAGACTGATGCCTACCCCACCCCATCTAATTATCTGTCGTCTGCCTTGCCTCGTGTCGATCATTTTGTCTTTTTATCGCTGTCTCTTACGATCGACTGGTTGCTGCTGAATGTCATTCTTTGCTATATACCCATCCCCGGGCTGCTTGTACACTACATCGGCAGATTGCGGAAAAATGTTTTTGATGTGTTTAAGAACTTATCTCCGACGGAAGGGGAACGCTGGAGCCGACTTTCGGGTCATCGTTTTTGTAATCGCCGCAGATGGCGATTAGATTAGATAGAGATGGCCCCTGCACGTGCTGGCTGGAAAGCATCCTGAGGTAATCCAAATTATTTTACCTCATATGCTGTCAGGAGCTTGGTGAGCGAAATCGATGACATTTTTGCGGATATGACTGCCAAGATATAGAGATTCTTGTGGATCACCGTTCAATGTTCATTTCCGAGCACCTCAGAATCCGAGGATAGTTTTCATGCCTGCTCGTTGAAGCATGGCAAACCAGCTGCCCTTGGGAACGTTCGCTCCGAAGAAGAGGCGCTGAGCCCAAGCTGCCGTGGAACCTAACGGGGAAACGGTCATCAGAATGAGCCTTCTCTTTACCCAAGACAACGATGGCCAGACCTTGGACAGGACCGAGTGGGCCGAATCCAAACAAGCGGAGCAAAGGGCGCAGGAGAAAGAAGGGAGCAGGCAGCATCATTGCGGCAAGTAGGAAAAGAAGAGCGGCAAATAGGTTGGGGTTTTGTTCAGCGAAATCGCCTGAGGCTTCTGTCAGCTTGGCCAGTTATCAGTGGTAAGAGTGCCGTAGTATCTCACCGAGTAAGACCGTTAAGCCGGAGATCGCAGGCGCCAAAGTCGCGTTCCAGTGCTCGCTGACGCGTGTTTTGTTGTACCCATGCTCGGCCAGGACACCAATGAGCGCGGCACCAGCCTTGTCCAGAGCTATCGTCACGACCTCCAGGCGTTGCGCGTGCCCGGGAGCCAGATCCGGAGCAGGGAACATCGCCTGCAGCTCCTGCACGACAGCTTCCAACGCGTTTTCTAGGTCGGCGACAATCTCGCTTTGCGTGAGGGCAAGTGTGTGCTGGTCTCCCCTCTTCTCGATAAGTGATGCATCCGGCGCGGCCAGATTCAAAAGAACAGTCGATGCATCCAACGCCTTCTCTGCGTAATCCCTGAACTCGGCAACTCCAGCTTTGAGCTGCTCCGATTGTTTGACGGCATCGGCAATGACGCCCTCGCTGTACGAACGGGCCCCGTCGCCGAGGTTGCGGAGATCAGTCCAAAAGTTGTCGAGATTATAGCTGGATGACGACTCGAATGTGTTTTTGTTGTTCCACCCGAGATGGAGGGAGGGGAAGAACACGGCAGAGAGCGCGGCCCCGAGGTAGATCGGCAGGCTCACAGCTGCGGTCGGCTCCACCGTGAGGGCAACGATAGAGAACAGGGGGAGGATGTGCGCTGTTGAGAGGAGCAGCATGGGAAATGAAGAGAGCTCAGTTCGAGCTTCGATTCGAGGGCTGGGATCTTATACAGTACGTACGTACGTAGTCAGCCTGGACCGCATTAGCTTTGACTTCTGCCGCTGCACATTTGCGACCTGATGTCCCCCCGTTGTGATGCAAATCGAGCACGAGGCTACCCTGAAACAAGTGCGGAGAGGTGCCATCGAAGTGCCACTACCGAGTTGGGCACAAGACGAGAGCACTGTTCAGTGTTACGGTATGAAGTGCCTGCCAGTTGTAGTTGATTGACAGCGGCACCGCCACTGCTACTTTTTCCATCGACGACCATGCCTCCCACGAGATTCAACCCGTCAGTCATCAAGAACAAGGAGAAGCGCGAAGAGGTTGCTCGGAAGGCTAAGAAAGCAAAGAACCAACAAAAGCTTCAAAAGCGTCTGGCACAGGCCAAATCAGAGGCCGATGACCCTGCCGCTAAAAAGGTTTGTAGAACTTGCTTGTATGGTTCGTTCCATTCTAGCGACTGACTCAAATACCAGCAACGACTTTCAGAAAATGTTCCGAGGACGCTTGATAACATGCGGGAATTCGATCCCTCGTTTCTTACCGCCGATCCAAGCCAGTCTTCGTCGACCGCCGCAACGCAGGAGGCGCACGCGCAAGACCTAGCAGCCGACCCCTTCGCTTCGTACTTCACTGGCGAAGAAGATCCTTCGATACCCCCAAAAATCTTGATCACCACGGGCCCACAATCGACGAAGGCAACGTATGCGTTTTGCGACGAGTTGGTTGGAGTGTTCCCTGGGGCGGAATACATCAGGAGGAAAAAGGGCAAGGGGTTCGAGATGGGCAGGATTGCAGGCTGGGCTGCGGGAAGGGGCTACAAGCAGATGCTTGTAGTGAATGAGGATCACAAGAAGCCCAGTGCGTGCACCGGACTGGCTGATTATGGTGCTCCGTCCATGGCTCATCTCTGGCAGACGCGATAACTCTGATCCATCTACCCAATGGTCCCACGGCTTATTTCAAGCTCTCATCTGTGCAGCTGACAAAAGATATCTTCGCAAGTGTCGCTGGACTGTTCGCGTGCGCATGCGTTCTCACACACAAATCTAGGGCCACGCGCGCGCTACGCCGCACGACCCGGAGCTCATCCTGAACAACTTCGTCACGCGGCTGGGCCACGCTGTGGGGCGCATGTTCCAGACGATGTTCCCGCCGCTACCCGAGTTCCAGGGCCGACAGGTCGTCACACTGCACAACCAGCGCGACTTTCTGTTCTTCCGCAGACACCGCTACGCCTTCCGATCCCCGGAGAAGGTTGCGCTGCAGGAGATTGGTCCACGCTTCACGCTCAAACTCAAGTCGATGCGGAAGGGCATCCCTGCTGTTCAGCGATTTGGGGAGGCCCCGAAACCGTTGGAGATCGAGGTGGGTGATCAAGAGGAAGATGAGGAGATGGCAACGGAGGAGCTGGCTAAAGATGCCTCGGAATCTGCTGTGGAACCGGAAACACCTGCTGCGCCAAAGCCTGTGCTGCCACCACAGACAGACGAGTTTTTATGGCAGTGGAAGGTCAGTGACGTTGTTCTTGAGCCCTGTCTGATATTGAATGCCTCCCAGCCCGAGCTGGAGACATCACGGAAAACTTTCTTTTTGTAGCTGTGTTGTCGAACAGTACATCAGGCATCTGCTTCAATCATCGCCATGTAAACAGATCTGCGCTCGTGATGGCATGCGTTCCTCCAGAAACTCAGGTGTCTGTATTCGATCTGGACTTTCACTGTAGGGTCTAGATAAGACTCCCCGACTCCAGCTTCTTTATGAATCCGCGGGTCTGTGGTGAGACTTGTGTGTGAGACAGTGCGGGAAATGAATGCGAGTTGAGCGCCATAAAGGTGGGTTTGACCATTTCTTCCCACAAAACTTTCGCCTTTTGCTGCTTCTATCTTCCATTTCAAACCCTGAGGTCTTCCTTTTACAATGCCGCAGTCCGCTGCACTTCCCAATCTTACGGGCTCTGTTGTTGACAGCGGGCGCCTCCGTCTTCACTCACTTGTCGGATCCGGAGCATATGGCAAAATCTACAAGGCCGAGCGGACCTCTTCTTCTACGATCTGCGCGGTCAAGTGTCTGCGCCGCCCGAAACACTCGCGCCGGGATGCCAAGTTTCAACAACGCGAGGCGACGCTGCATCAGATTGCCTCGGCGCACGAGAACGTCTTGACGATGCACAGCACCTTCCAAGATCGCGACCATAATTACTTTGTCTTCGACTACGTCGCTGGACGCGACATGTACCGCGCCATTCTGAACGGCCGCTACCGCCGTAACGCGGATCTCGTGCGGCGGGTCTTCGGTGGGATCGTCGAGGGTATCCGCTACTGCCATTCGCAGGGCGTGTATCACCGGGACCTCAAACCCGAGAACATCCTGGTCGACATCGCCGGCGGGAACCCGCGCATCGCTGATTTCGGGCTGGCCACGCACGATCCGGTTTCAGACGACTTCGATTGCGGGAGTCCTGCGTACATGTCTCCTGGTGAGTGTGACAGCCGCGTTACTGTTCTGTGTCTCAGTTTGAACTTGCGACAGAATCTTTCAACGTGACCTATACCATGTCTTACCGCCCGCGGGACAGCGATGCGTGGGCGCTGGCGATCATCTTGATCAACATGGTCACAGAAATGAATCCGTGGACCCGTCCGATCCGAACCGATCCGCGCTGGGTTTCGTATCTCTCCGACCCGCTCAACTTCTTGCGTGAAATTGTCCCGATCTCGACACATCTCAACGAGCTGCTAGTCTGTGCCCTCGACCCGCTGCCCGTTCGGCGTCCTTCGCTTCTCGAGGTCCGCAATGAAGTGTTGGGAATGACGGAGCTCTATATGTCGCCGGAGGAACTCCGAACGGCACCCAGCGCAGTCCAGCGCGCTGCCGGGGCCACCGGATTAGTGTGCGATGAGAGCGACTGCAGCAGTGCTAGCGCATCCTTAGCCGTGCGACAACTCGTCCGAATCCCTGCTCCTGCTCCTGCTCCTCCTCCACGGGCAGAGCCGCAATCCCATCTATCGGTCGTGAAGCCTCCGCGTCGGGCGTCGACTCCACGCTCCGACTGCAACACACCGCAAGAGCTGATCGTCGAGTTTCCGCTGATGCCAGCACCTTCCCCGTCGGCTTCGTCCCTGTCGTCTTCGATTCCCCAGCCGCAGGTTGCGTGGTGCCAAGAAGATCTGGACTGGGAGTTCCGCCAGGACGAAAAGCGACGACAAAGTAAGCTTCGCAAGCTGATGGACAAGGTCGGGTCGGTGTTTCGCAGGTGCGCACTAATGTAGTATATGATACTGTGATCGGGTCGCTTATTTTCGACAGGAGGGAGGAAGTGACTGCGCCGAAAGGTCTGGCTGTCTGTTGAGCATCCTCACTTCGTGTAGGTCAGCGTCATTCTATGTGGATTCAGCGTTATCTGATACGAAACTTTGGGTAGTTACGGCTTACTTCGATTCTGCCCCACCTGTATGTCACTGGACGGTTTTTCTTCAACGCTTGGTCCGTGTCTTCCCAAGTCTCTCAGGCCAGTAATTGATGCAAAACAGATGCTCTTCCGGTTTATGACTGCTCGCATTTGTTTTTGCCTTTTATTCGACTACATCCCCGTCGTCTTTATTTTGGATTACGATGAAACTCCAAACGATAATACCACAAAACTTCGAATGTCAGATTTTCTACTCCTACTGAGTTCGTCTTCCGTCTTGCTGGAAGGCTTGTGCACATATTATTGCAAAATCTACATTCTGAATCCTAGATTGATGGGAATACCGAAAAATGCGGCTCGAGTGATCTCGACCATCGCGGGTTTTATGACTCTCAACTGATTCAAGTTCAAGTAAGACCGAGTGGGGAACGCTTATTCTGATCCTGGTGAGGGGCAATAGGGGATAATCGATAATCAACCACCAACCATCAATTCATCAGCCATCACGTCAATGCGGCAGAGAGTTGCGGAATTTCGCCAATGTCACGCACTGCAGTCACAACGTATTTCTTCGGCCGCCTGCCCGTTCGCCCTGACCGTCGTTGCTGAGCCACTGCGTCCCTGCCTGTGAAACTTTTCGTCTTTACACTCGAGCCTCCTTGTCCATCAAAGTCCTCCACACTTTCCTCCTTACAGGTGCCGCCAAGCCGTTCGGAGACAAAGTTAACCGCGCTCGTGGCATCGCCTTCTCAGCGCATACAAAGCAGTTGCCCCCTCACGGAACGATCACATCTATCATGTTTTCAACGATGCTGCTGCCCCAATCGCTGCTAATCCTCGTGCTTTCGGCCTCTTCCGCTCTTGCACAAGCTTCCTCGTCTTCCCGCCGTGCCAGTTCCACGAGTTTGTTGAGCAGCGCGAGCGCGAGCGTCAGCACGTCCTCGGTGGGAACACCGAGTAACTCGGCCGCCTTGCCTTCTTTGAGCGGAGTTCCCGATTGTGGTACGCGTCCTCCTGAATATGCCGTCACCATACCCGTCCCTCATGTCAACCAGTGACGAACTGCCTCGACCTGGCGGCATCCGCCGGTCCGTGCGCGTCTGTGGCCGCGGTCGACTGTTTCTGCATGCAGCCTGCAGCAGCGAACTATACGTCTACGCTCCTGTCGTGTCTGCAGACGTGCCCGCAGGACGTCGCACAGGCGGAGCGCCTGGCGCAGCAGTTCTGCGCGGCGGCGGCGTCCAGCACGAGCCTCAGTTTCGCTAGCTTCGTCCCTTCGTCATCTCGCTCCTCGTCGGCTAGTCGTAGCAGCGCGAGCTCAGGTTCAAGCGCAAGCGCGACTGCGCCGCCCAGTTCGAGTTTGAGTGCGACCCCTAGTGGAAGCGCGAAGCCATCCAGTGCCGCTTCTGGACGAGCAGGAGGCTCTGGTCTCGCTGCAGCGGTCGGTGTGTGCTTGGCTATTGGCGGAGGGCTCTTGGGTGTAGCTGCTGTGCTCTGAGCTTACGGCTAGACTGACGGACCGTTCAACCCCGCGCGTTTCATTGTATATATATATCCTTGTCACCGCGATCGACTCATGCATACCCCCTCCGCTCTCTTGACTTGCATAGACCACCACTTTATCACACTCCTATTGTACGCACGGACCTTCCATACCAACTCGAGCAAACGCATGAACTTCAGATCTTGTAGCTTCTACTGTCAGTGGCATGGATGACAACCACCTGGAGATTTGCGCGGCAAGTGACATCGACAGTCGACGTACAGTAACACGTGCTACCAAGACCTGGTCTGATCCGACTCTGATGGGGTATTCCACTTTTCCCCTACCCGGTGACAAACCATCGCTGGCTACCGGAGGCGCCTGTCCCCAACCATGGCGTCCCCCAACCCGTACGCCTCACCGCCGCTCGCCAGTGCGCCATTTGCCGCACTGCATCTGTACCCCCTCGACGACTCATTCGTCCCAAAACGGATTGCGCTGGGCGGCGGCCAGCGAGTCAAAATCGCGCGGCCGCCGAGCACCAAGACGGCGTCGAACGAGCACAACGGGTTCTTCGACTCGCGGGTGCTGAGTAGGCAGCACGCGGAGGTGTGGGAGGACGGAGGCAAGGTGGGTTTCGCGGCACGCGACTGTTTGGTTGTCCTGAGCGATATATAACTAAAAATATCTCCGTGCGACGGGCAGATTTTCATCCGCGACGTCAAGAGCTCCAACGGGACGTTCATCAACGGGGAGCGGCTCAGTGCGGAGGGCCGCGAGTCGGAGCCGTTCGAGCTCAAGAGCGATGACATCCTCGTCAGTGCCTGTTCGCGGTGTGCGGCTGAATGATGTCTCTGAGCTTCCCTTCCTTTCCTAGGAATTTGGGGTGGACATCGTCTCCGAGGACAACACGACCGTGCTGCATCGCAAGGTCGTCGCCCGCGTACAGTGCGTATTCGGGAACAAACCGGTACCCGGTCCTGGCGCTGGTGCAGGCGCAGGCGCCAACCAGGGCACCCTATTCAACAACGGCCAACGGCGCGGTGCGATTCCCATGATCCACCAGGGCCTCGGTGGCATGGGTGGCAGCACCAGGGTCCCAGGCAGAGGGCTCACGCTTGACCACATCCTCAGCCGCCTGCAAGCTGAACTCGCCAAAAGCCGCGACACCGGCCACGACCTGCACGCGCTGACAGGGACGCTCAACGGCGTCGAGGAGACCCTCAATGGTGGACCGGTACGTGCATAACGCTGTTTCCGCAGTCAGCCAGTATGTGCGCAGAGCTAACTAAACCAGGCTGCCGCAACGGCACCGGCTTTCCCGGATGTGCTTCCCCCTGTCCGACCTGTTCCGCCACCGAAGACACTATCTGTTCCTTCGCTTCCTACTCAGGCGCCGCCGACCTCGGAAGCTCCTGCCCCAGACGTGATTGCGGAGCTGCAGGCGCAGCTGCGCGAGCAGCAAGAGGCGTTCGCTGTCCACGCAGAGAGTCTGCGGGCCCTGCAGACCGTCCTGGCCGAACAGGAAACGATGAAAGCCGAGGTGCAAGCCCTGCGGGATTACGTCGCTGCGGATCGCGAGAGGAATTTCGATGATAATGATGAGGATGAGGATGATGACGACGATTCGGATGCGCAGAGCATCGTCACTGTGGGTCCCGGCCAAGATCTGGACACTCTGGAGGAAGTTGAGGAGCCCGAGAATGAGGACGCCGAGCCTTCTGGCAACGACTTCCACGGCCGTTCCCAGACACCAGAACCGACTATGGAGGAGGAGGATGAGTCTGAAGTGCCGCCGCAGCAAGAGCAAGAGCCAGAGCCCATCAAGCCACCTGGGCCAAGTATCGCTGATTTGACCACTCGTTTGGACCAGCTCGCGGCGCAATTAGAGACCGCGTTGGCCACATCCAGCGCGCTGGAAGCGGCCCATGCTGCCGCGCAGCTGACGATCGCGAAACTGGAGGCGAAGCTCGAGCGACTGGAGGCTTCGCCGGCGGAACCGCTGCCAATCCCAGAACCCGTGCCACCAGCTCCGGTGGTGATGCCCCACCCGGATATTGATGAACTGCATGCCGAGTTGGCTGCTGTCCGGGCGGACTTGGCTGCCGAGCGTGGGCAGCGCGATGCGTGGACCGGTGGGCTTGACGAGCGGGTCCGGTTGATGATCCTCGCAGCCGGCAAGGTGACGCAGATCAACGGGGAGGTTGATGGGAATGGGTGGCGCTCGCTGCCCAGTCCGACGAGCAGCCCAACCCACAGTCCCAGGCGGTACAAACGAGACAGCGTGCACTCGCTTCCGGATGCGCAGTTTGAGCCGCCATCGAAACAAAGTGATACCGCGCACGAGTTAGCGAAAAAGGTGGGTTGTCCAGTCGAACTAATTTGTTTCTCGCGATTGACTGTTTGTCTCCAGCAGCCCAAAGCACTGAGCCGGACCGATTTTTCGACGGCATTCGGTGTTTTGATACTCGGATTAGCCGCCGCCGCCGTTCTTTGGCGCGTCAAGCCAGAGTGACCGGGGCGACTGCCCCAACTAACCGAACCTCGCCACAACCTAGTCTCTGATGGAGACTACGCGCGCCCGGCCGCCCTGGATCACAGAGGCTGAAGACACCCCCATCTGCTCATTGTCACCTGGTGATGGTGTCTACACCGCGTGCAGGGTAGAAAACGAAAATGTTACTGACAGAGCTTCCATCGTGCAGTCACCGATGCGGCCGTAGCTCGGAGGTAGCAACGACACGGACGGATATGCGGATGCAACTAATAATTTATCTCTTGTTATTTATGCAAAACTACATGTTGTTTCCGAGGCCACTCGTGCCCACATCTCTCGGAGAGGCAGTTGTATGTACGCAGGGCCAGATCAAATTGCACATACTCTTGTCTCGCGCGTCCGTTCGCACATACGAATCGCGTAGTGGCAGGAACCATTTAGAGATTTTGTTTCTTTCCGCATGCATGTGGATGCTTGATATCTTGGCGCAAGAAGGTGCTGTCAGTTGCCCGGCCAAGCAAACTTGCCGAATCGACATGTGCCGTTACTTAATAGTGAGTGGTTGGTTGCAAGAAGCTGTAAAAGCTTCGATATTCGATGTTCGTACACTGGTCGGATACAATCTTGTTTTTACCATCCCCGCTCGGCCAGCTTGCCTCCTTTGAGGTTCTCGTCGCTGCAATGATCAGAAATGGATCCTCAATGGAATGGATGAACAAGCCCGACATACATGTTAAGGCCCACCATCGCCGGACCCAGACTTTCCGAAACTTCGGCCAGAGTCTTCGGGTTGTTGAAGTGCGTGACTGCTTGAACGATGGCCCTTGCGCGCTTGGCTGGGTCCCCGGCCTTGAAAATCCCGGATCCGACAAATACTGTCGAAGCGGCTCAGTGACTGTCGCCCTCGGGCAGATCGGTCAGGCAGTACCTCCGTCACAGCCTAGCTGCATCATCAACGCAGCATCCGCTGTGGGAATGGAAATGTTCATTATGAGAATCCCTGAGACTTTCGACGAACCTGGAGTAGCGATCCCACCAGCGGCAAAGCTCACGACCGGAAGCCGCTTCAGTCGAGCCGTTTCCTTGAGCAGATGGAAAGGCGCTGTTTGTCCGTCAGTTCTCGCTTTCCCAAGTCTGCGCATCGCTCGCTACCTTGAATATCCTTGGCGTAGGTGTACAGCTCCTCCTCTGTCATCACGCTGACTTTGCGGATCTCAGACTGCACGGTCCGCGCATGGCGCACGGCCACGGCTACATTGCCCGTCCCGGCCTCGCCTTTCGTGCGGATGAATGCCGCGCCCTCGGCAACGCGGCGCAGGGCCTCACCCAGCCCGCGCGCCCCGCACACGAACGGGACCTTGAACGCGTGCTTGCCGATGTGGTGCTCATCGTCCGCAGGGGTGAGCACCTCGCTCTCGTCAATGTAGTCTATGCCCAGCGCCTAGGAGATGTGAGCCTCAGATCGGACGGAAGGTTGTATGCGCCGGCGGACCTGTAAGATCTGTGCTTCGACGAAGTGGCCGATCCGGCACTTGGCCATGACGGGGATCGTCACCGCGTCGCGTATCTCCTTGATGAGCGCGGGATCGCTCTATCGTGGGCATCAGTGGATCCGTAATCGCGGCGCGATAGCACGGAGGCAGGCGGAGCGCAGTACGCACCATACGCGCGACGCCGCCGTCCGCTCTGATGTCCGCCGGGACGCGCTCGAGCGCCATGACGGCGCACGCGCCGGCCTCCTCCGCGATCCGCGCCTGCTCAGCGTTCACGACGTCCATGATGACGCCGCCTTTGAGCATCTGCGCGAGCCCCGATTTGACCTATCTCAGAACACATTGAGCTGTGCCGCGCGCTCCTGCCGCCAAAGGAACCGCTGACCCCGAAAGTGCCTATGTTCCCCGCCCCGCCGGGCTCACGCGGCGCAGAGCGGACTGGGGCGCTTGGAAGGGTGGGTGTGCCGTTGGTCGACATGGTCAAGATGCAGAATGGTCCTGGCCTTCTGATTTGACCCCTATTCTTGGAATCGAGTCAGCACATCATCATCACTGACGCTTGTCCTCGAGACATCTGCTATACATGGCTGCTGCTACACATGGCACGGTTACAAACACTAATCATTACAGTCTACAAATATTTCAAGGTCCGTCCGGGTCAAACACAGATCATGATCTATCCGCCTCATCCACGAGCCAGTCGCGCAGGGCCCACACCAGTCTTGTAGCGGCAACTTCCAGAGCCTCATCTTTTCTGCGGGGAACTTCGACGATCGTCCGTTTGAACCGTCCATTAGTCACCATGAGCCCTGCTGAGCGCGTGGAGAACATAATCGAGATCGTTGAAAAGGGAAGTGGAGAAATGACGACTTTCATGGATGGCGGTGGGGGTAGATCCACAGTTCTGGATTTCCCTTTGCCCATCGTCATTCGCCAGAAAGAGTTGTTTGAATTGGTGGATACCGCCAATAGATTGCGGTACTGCGCCGTGAGCGCAGCTTGGGATCCCTGCGAGCGCAAGACCACTGATGTTGGCCGTGCAGGGACTGAGGAAGAGGATTCGCCTGTAGGTCGCAGGAGATCGGAGGTAGACGCCGCCGGGGACCCACTCCTTGTTTGGCTGTCCACATAGATAACACCTTCGCCCACACCGTAATCTCGAACCAGATCCTCCAGCCGACTTCGCGGCTGCATCCGGTCAAATAAGTCGCGAAATGATTCTTCCCTTTCGAGGTGGAGGGAAGATTCGTCTAGCCAGACGTCTTCTCGCACTTTAAGCGCGATGTACAAATCAAGAACGACTGTTTCACGCTGCAAAGTCCCGACAGGGGATGACGAGCGCATAGACAGAGAGTTGGAGTGTGGGAAGGGATCCGAAGAATTAGGTCTTCGGATGAGGGAATCATAAAGAGGCAGATAGACGGAACGCAGGACGTTCATAGACGCTGCGGATGCACATTAGGTCAACGCGACAGCACGGTAGCAAGGACGCAGCTCACTTGTGTAGAAAAGTCGATTCACGAGCCGCAAGCCTATTGTAAGCCAATACAGTGTCTTGCGCTGCTCCACTGCGTCTTCGATTTCGTACGCCTCAGAAAACGTCGCGTATACGATCTGCAGGAGCAGATGCGGCGGTAGCGCGGAAAAGGTCCTCCACGCCGTGGCTGGCGTCGCCTTGGTATATGGTGGCGGAGGGTTGAGGGCCTTTTCGTCGACGATCATGTTGCCCGCGATTGGAGAGAAAGCCAAGTCAGGAAGTGGGCGGTGCAGATGTCAGGACTATTTGCATAAGATCATGCGGACTGCGGGACTGCGGGGCACGGGATGATCGACTACGCAGACCTGCTGCGTTTGATGGAGTGCGTTTGTGATGAGAAGCACTCGCTCCTTCTGGGATGAAGGGATGACCAAAGGGATCCTGGACCGTGAGGCGGAGTTCAGATCGGATTGATGCGTGTTAGAACATGTGAACGATCGTTGGGAGTCATAAAGTTACCGGATCCTTCCTCACGTCTCTCAAGTTCCGCCGATTTTTTTTTGGCAGCGCAGACCCCCTGGTATCTTTCTTTCCCGCATCCATCGGCAGGCGCATCGACAGTCTTTTGAAGACCGAACCGTGCAATCACTGAATATTGAATGGTCAACGTCCCCGCTCTAGGTTCTCTTCTAGGACGCCCTAGATCCAACTTCCGGCTGTAGAGGGTATTTGTGCGAGGTAAACCATACAACAACATGCATACCTTGTGACTGAAGACCTTGCTTCTCAGAACTCAACTTAGCTAGACCGGGCATCCCTGGTTGTCCCCGGTCGGTTAACTCTTCGAGTTTCGCACACGTTTCTCTTCTTCACTCCCCTCCAATTTACGTAAATCAGAGGTTCAGTCTTCTACGATCTGTACTTTTCGCTCGGCTTAGACTTTACCTCCAGGGCGTCCCTTTCTCAACGCAATCATGAGCTCACCACCAGGAGACGAGGACGCGCCAGTTTTTGTGGCTTCCAGCTCGCCCATTTCGATTCGCGGAGGCTCTCCTGTACGCCGACGAACGACCAGTGTGTCCCATAGCGAGAGCGACGTTGCACGTTCCCGGCACTCCCCTACCATCAGCCGTTCCGTGGACCCTAACGACCCGCTGGCGAGGGAGCGGCAGAGAACAATGGATGTAGACATGGCGATGCAGCTCTCCCGAGCACGAAGAGAGACACTGCCAGACACCACCTCCGACTCCACTTTCCCCGCGCTGTCGCCACAGGAGCAACGTGAGATCGACATGGCGCGAGGGGAACTAGAGGAGCGTTCGCGCGTGCTAGACGCCGAGCTGGGGAACGTTGCAGAGCCAGTCTCTTTCCTTCAATCGCGGCTCATGTCAGCGCACGACCCCGCCATGATAGTCCACGAATCGCAGCATCTGCGGGCCATGCAGTCCACCTCGTTTGGACTGCCCACATACCAGGCGAATGTGTCTCAGTCCGAGTTTGACTTTGGTCCGATGGACGAGTTTGCTCGGGCTGAGAAGGTGGTTCTGGATCAGACAAAACCCAAATTTTCGCTGAATGCGCTGAGGGCAAGGACTATTGCCCCTGATGAAGAGGATATGGCGCTACCGCAGGAGGGAGGGGAACCATCGGCGCCACCGCGTCGCAAGCTGAGCGAGAGCAATCCTAGGCCGAGACACCCTCGCAAGACCGGTGGCAGAAAGATGGCAATGTTCGAAGGAAACAGCAATGGCGATCTTCCCCCGTTCACATTTGACGGTGGTGCTCATAGCACGTCCGGAATCCTCAACACGGGACATGACAGGCCATACCGATTTTCTTTCTACTCAAATGCCATGTCAGCCACGATCCACGCGCGGAGCCTGAGCGAGCTGCCAGCCGAGGGCCAGTCTTTCGGTGATCTGTTCTCTGGCAATCTTCCGGCCCCCGGTGGAATGGCCAGGGACCAAACGCGGCCGGGGCCTTCGCCTTTGATCAACGAAAAGGCACCCGAGCGATCGAATGGCAAGGCACCGGTTGGGGATCATCCTCGCCGCAGCGGTAACGATCCAGAAACCAATACTTGGTGGCTGGATATTCAAAGTCCTACGGACGACGAGATGAAGATGCTCAGTAAAGTATTCGGCATCCACCCTTTGACGACAGAGGATATCCAGATGGAAGAAACGCGGGAGAAAATTGAGCTTTTCCGCAACTATTATCTGGTTTGTTTCCGGTCTTTCGACCAGGATCAGTACAGCCCGACCCATCTTGAGCCGTTGAACATGTACATCATCGTTTTCCGCGAAGGAACGCTCTCATTCCACTTCCGTCCGACACCTCACCCACAGAATGTGCGCCGGCGGATCAAACAGCTCAAGGACTACATCAGCGTCACCTCGGACTGGATTTCGTACGCGCTCATTGATGACATAACCGACGCATTTGGGCCTCTCATCCAAGGGATCGAGTATGAAGTCGACAGTATCGACGAGCTGGTATTGATTCTGAAGGAGGCGGAGCAAAGCGACATGTTGAGGAGGATTGGGACCTGCAGGAAGAAGGTTATGGGTCTTTTGCGCCTGATGGGGAACAAAGCCGATGTCGTGAAGGGCTTGGCTAAGCGATGCAACGAGCATTGGCGTGTCGCGCCCACTTCGGACATTGTGCGTCCTTCCTCACTCTTTCATCCAGCCTTATGCTGACGAGGCGATTAGGGCCTCTATCTGTCCGACATCCAAGACCACTTGATCACAATGACTCAAAACTTGAATCACTACGAAAAGATTCTGTCCCGGTCGCACTCGAACTATCTGGCTCAAATATCGATCGAGATGACCGATGCGAATAACCAGATCAACGATGTGCTTTCGAAGCTGACTGCGCTTGGTACCGTGCTCATCCCTATGAACCTCGTGACTGGTCTGTGGGGTATGAATGTACACGTTCCTGGCCAGAATGTGGAAAGCTACACGTGGTTTATCTCGATCATCGCTGGACTGGCCGCGTTTGCTATTATTGGAGGATACTCTACTTATAAGTTCATGGTTAATCGGCAATAGATTGTAACATACATGTCCTCATTCCTTGTCGGTATACGAATCTTTGATGACTGAAAGGTTTTTCATCAAATTGTGAGTCTCCATGCCTTTTTTCAAAAGACCCCACTGAGCGCCTATTCTTGTTACGTAGGCGTAGTGTTGGCTAAGCATCTAGGGTTAGGGCTCGGAAGTTTGCGTTTACCCCATTCGAACATTACGATCGGTATGCTGCGCGTCAAGCAGAGTGAGCAAAAATAGAGCATCCACAAGGTCTGGTAGAGGCCACGAATCTAAACGAAACGCTCTAAATTTGGGATTCATGGCACCATGGGACGTTGCGCATTGTGGTCTGTCTCAGTTGACACAAGAAACCCAATATGGATACCGATTCTAGAATTCTGCACGTGAGAGCGGAGATTGAAACGACTGTAACTCTCCCCTCGTCCACCAGCTGCAGCTGCCGCCACAATATACCCGGGTGCTCAGAAAAACCCACTGACGCCTGGGACCGACTTCTTGATTATGAGCGCCGATTCTCGACCGTCTGCGACTCCTCGTGGAACTCCCTCGAGGCGCGGCAAATCCCCTGCCACTCCCAGTCTTGATTCGAAGCCCCCAAATTGGCCATCTCCACATAATATTCCCCAAGACAGCCCCTCCTCTGCCACACCTCGCGGCAGTCCGTCCCGGAGAGGGAAATCTCCTCGCGTCGCGCCCGCGAGCTCGGCATCGCATCTAGCGCCGCCGTCGGATAAATCCACGAGCGCCTTCTATTCTTGTATCCGGATCCCAGTCGAGGGCGCGGTCCCAATAAATCCTCCTGATAAAGAAGAAACGCTCTCTGCGCAGACGGAGCCGGTTTCAGGCAGGGCGCCGCGGAAGTCGAAGACGGATGCTCTGCAAGCCATCAAGACGGGACATAGCGCCGGGGCCGGGGAGACGGATGAGGACGAGGGCGAGGACGAGAGGAACGATGTATGGGCGGAGAGATACCGCAATGTGCCTCCGATTGTGCCTCCGAAGATTTTGGATCTGTCGACGGTGAAGACGGAGAGTCTGCGACCCGACTCTCTGCCGCGCAAAGAGGCGAGACCGTTCGGGCTCCCGGACTGCCCGACGTTCTACCCTACAGTAGAAGAATTCAGAGACCCTATGGCATACATCCGCTCCATATCCGAGACGGCTAACGCACACGGAATCTGCAAAGTCGTGCCCCCCGCTGGGTGGAAGATGCCTTTCGTGACAGATACAGCAGTATGCGAATTCTCGTAATATCGATTTGGGATGCTGATCCCTTCCTGCAGAACTTTCGCTTCAAGACCCGCGTTCAGCGCCTGAACTCAGTCGAAGCCTCTTCGCGAGCCAAGCTCAACTTTCTGGAACAACTATATGTGTGGCACCAACAGCAAGGAAATCCACGTGTATCAGTGCCCACGATCAACAATAAGCCGCTGGATCTGTACTTGCTACGGAAGGAAGTGCGCAAGCTGGGTGGTTTCTACGTCGTGCGTGGCAGAATCATGTTCTCGCCGTATTCATCATGTTGATGTTTTTTTTGCAGGTGTCTAAGAACAAGCTCTGGTCCGAACTCGGCCGCATTCTGGGATATTCTGGCATTCCTGGTCTCTCGACGCAGCTCAAAAACTCATACACTCGGGTCATTCTTCCTTTTGAGGAATACGAGGCTAAGAATGCGTCCAAGGAGGCCAGCAAGGCACCCCTTTCTGTCAGCAAAGCACCTCAGCCGATTCCTTCCAAAGCTCCCGCCGTCGAAGAGAAGCAGCTAACAAGCGTTCCGCTTAAGCCCATGGACATCAGCCCGCCGGAAAGTCCCTTGACAGCCACCTCGAGCCCTTTGTCAGAGCCGCCAGAGGATGGAGAGAGGGCAACTGAAAAGACTGCTGCTGCTACTGCTGCTGCTGGCAGACCACGGCGTAGTACGAGAATGGGTATGTGAGCTCGACCGCGGCCGTAATTTCCGCTAAGGTTTGCCAGGATCGAAAACTCCGGGACTTGGCAGACTGCAGGTCTCGCCGTTGCCTGTTCCAACCTTCCACGACGGCAAGGATCTCAAAGGATCCCTCGAGGTTCGTGCCTTGTCAATGCTGTTATCTCGTAGGCTGACGTTGTGCAGCAAAACTGCGAAATATGTCATAAGAAGAATCGTGGTGAGGAGATGCTTCTTTGTGACGGATGTGACTGTGGCACGTCGTTTTGTGTTTTCGTCACCCAGGCATACGCTGATTAGATTTCGAACTAGGATTCCATATGTTCTGCCTCGATCCTCCATTGGATGCGATTCCCAAAGAGCAGTGGTTCTGTTACACGTGTCTCGCTGGCACGGGCGGTGACTACGGTTTCGACGAGGGCGACGAACACAGTTTATCCAGCTTCCATGCTCGGGATAACGAATTCCGGCGTGTGTGGTTCGAGTCTCATCCGCCCATGAGAGACCCCGATGCGTTGGAAATCGATGACCCCACGTCCAGTCGCATTGGGAATGTGACCGTGTCCGAGTACGATCTAGAGATGGAGTTTTGGCGATTAGTGGACACGCAGGAAGAGACCGTCGAGGTTGAATATGGCGCTGACGTTCACTCGACCACCCATGGAAGGTGTGTGTGATAGTAGTAGGCACAGCAGACCTCTGGGACTGACGCTATGCCAGTGCGATGCCTACGATGGAAACCCACCCGTTGAACAGTTACGCAACGGACCCTTGGAATCTCAACAACATTCCCATTGTCTCCGACTCGCTACTACAATACATCAAGTCAGATATCTCTGGGATGACGGTTCCTTGGACCTACGTTGGCATGACCTTCTCAACTTTCTGCTGGCATAACGAGGTACGCTGCGTCGCACGACATCCCGCGATTGTGCCTATCAAGGTTTCCAGGATCATTACACCTACAGCATCAATTTCATGCATTGGGGAGAAACCAAGACTTGGTACGGCATCCCAGGTGAAGACGCGGAACTGTTCGAGGCTGCTATCAAGTCCGAGGCGCCAGATTTGTTCCAGGCCCAGCCGGACCTGTTATTCCAGCTTGTCACGCTGATGAACCCGAAGCGGGTGACGGATGCTGGCGTCAAGGTGTATGCGTGCAATCAACGGGCCGGCGAATTCGTCATTACCTGCCCCAAGTCCTATCATGCGGGATTCAATCACGGGGTCAGTCTCTGCTAAACATAGAAGAAAAAGGGACATCCAGCTGATTTGGTCCCTTTTGCAGTTCAATTTCAATGAGGCTGTGAACTTTGCCCTGCCAGATTGGCTCAAGTACGGCAAAGAATGCGTCCAGCGCTATCAGGATCACCGGAAGCTGCCCGTCTTCTCGCACGACGAGCTGCTGATCACGATCTTCCAACAATCGCAGTCGATCAAGACTGCCATTTGGTCAGTGGTCCATGCGTCGTGTCTTGACTGTATTATATTGAGATCTTCCCTCCCAGGCTGTACGACAGCCTCGCGGAAATGACGGAACGCGAGATCAACGATCGGCAGACTGCACGTGGTCTGGGAATGACTGAGATCCTGGAAGAGGAGGACCGGCCAGAAGACCAGTACCAGTGCACGACCTGCAAGGTGTTCTGCTATCTGTCACAGATCACGTGCGGGTGCAAGTCCGCAGCGATCGCCTGCATCCAGCACACGCACCTCGTTTGCGAGCGGCCCGGAGAGAAGTCGCCGGAGCACTTGATTCTGCGCAAACGGTTCCCTGACGAGTACCTGAAGGATGCACTGGCTGCTGTGGCCCAGCGGGCGGCGATCCCCGAAACATGGCGCGCCAAGCTGTCCAAAGTGTTGCAGGAGAGCCGCCGGCCGTCGCTGCGTTCCCTGCGCGCACTTGCGTCCGAGGGCGAGCGGATCAACTACCATCTGCCGGAGCTGGTATCGCTGCGGCGATGCGTGCAGCGCGCCAACCAGTGGGTCGAGTCGGCGAACAGCTTCCTGATGCGCAAGACGCGAGCTCGGGGTGGCCGACGGAGTCGCGGGCGGTACTCAACGGGGATCGACGCGGAGATTGACTGGCCGGAGAAGCGACTGGAGGAGCTGCGCGCTCTGCTGCGCGACGTCGAAACGCTGGGTTTTGACTCGTCTGAGATCGCCGGGTTGCAGGCGCTGGGGGAGACCGCCGAGAAAACACGGCAGGAAGCAAGCGCTCTGCTGCTGAAGACGGTCCCGGAGGATGATGGGCAGCGGGACGAGTACATCGAGAGCTGCAAACGGATCGTGACGGATGGGGCGTCGTTGAATGTGCTGTTGGACGAAGTGGTGCAGCTGGACGGGCTGGTCAAACGGGAGCGGCTGATCGCCGTGCTGGAGAACTCGCTGGACGACGACATTGGGATGGACGAGTGCCGCGATCTTCTGGAGCGGGCGGCTCAGTGCGGAGTGCCGATGGACCACCCGCAAGTGCAGCAACTGCAGGCGCGGATGGAGGCAGGTTGTTCATGGGAGGACCGGGCCCGCGCGCTGCTCGAGAAACCCATCAAGACGATCGCCGAGCTGACTGAGGCGTCGCGGCTGGACGACACGGTTTCGACGAGCAACAAGGTCTACCGGGAGATCATGGCGCTGCTGAACAAGGCCAAGGATTTCGAGCGCCAGGCATTTGCATGGCTGACACCTACGGAATCGGATCATGTGCGTCCGAAAGGGCAGGAGGTGATCCGACTGGCAACGCGAGCGGAGCGGGAGTTCAAGATCGAGATCATCGACAATCTGCGGCAGACTGCGGTGTTTGCGCTTGATCTCGAGAGCCAGTGCGAGGCGGCGCTGCACAACAAGGCGATCGTGGCGAAGGATATGACGTCATTCGCGCTGATCCTGAAGTGGCGGGAATATGCGCATGCGCATTTGCACATGTTTACGCTGCCGTGGTTCAGCCAGCTGGATGCGCAGCTCGAGGCGCACTTTGCGTGGGTCAAGACGCTTCCGTGGTACTGCCCCGAGCACGAAAAGCTGGAGTGGAAGTCGCTCGTGGAAGACGTGATCGAATGCACGAGGCCAGAGGAGGATCTGCCCCCGACGGCGGAGTGGTTCACCTGCATCTGCACCGAGCCCGTGAAGCCGCCGCCGGCGGGGCAGTCGTCGGATGCGGTGCAGTGCGACCACTGCTATGCCCGCTTCCACGGCGCGTGCGCGAACAACGGGGGCTCGTGTCCCTTCTGCGACTACCACCACTGGAACGGGTCGATCCACAAAGACCGCAGCTGGCATTTTGCGCACCTCGGGCCGATGCTGCTCAGCGCGCCGGAGCTGACGAAGAACTACTCGGACGAATGGAAGCAGCTTGAGATGGTCGTGCACCGGGTGGACCGACTGGCTGGGGTGATCGGGCAGTTCCTGGCGTACACCAAGGACCACGAGCCCCGACAGCCCGACCACCTGCCGCAGGTGCGGCATTTTATGCGGAAGCTGTACAAACTGCAGTTCGCGGTCGCGCCGGCCGCGGACACGTCGTTCGGGCTGGAACTGGCCGGGCTGCACCGGATTCTGGCGCTGCGCAAGGGCCCGGTGAACGAGCGGCACGCGGCGAAGCTGGCGGCGCGCAAACGCGAGAAGGAGCTGATGCAGGCGCGCAAGAAGCGGCGGGTCAAGTTCACGTTCGGGCAGGACGTGGATGTGAACTGGAAGGACGGGACGCGCTGCATCTGCCGGGGGCGCACCCCGTACCTGCTCAACTACCCGCCGGTCACGTGCGACATGTGCAACCGCAAGTACCACGCGGGCTGTGTGTTCTTCCCCGACGACAGCAAGGACGGCGCGCGCTTCCACTGTCCGGTGTGCATGACGAAGAAGAATCTGGTGTATCCGTACGCGGAAGTGAGGATCCGGCCACCAGGTGTGTGTGTTTTCCCGGTGTTCGTCGTCGTCGATCGCAGCTCATTCGTTGGGAACAGCTGAACTGCGACAGCCGACCGACCAGTACGTCGATGCGCCGAAGATGATCGAGCAGAGCACGAAGGAGCTGATCTTCAAAACCTTGGGCATGCCATACACCAAGACGCTCTTCCTCGAGGTCGTCAAGGTCGACGTGCACGTGTCCTCGTCCGCCTCGTCCTCATCAGCGTCGGCGTCCCACGCCCGCTCGGTGTTCCGCCCCCAGCCCTACCGACACCCACACGCCCGTGCAGAAAGCTCCGCGCCGGCGACGCCGCCGCTCGCGATCGCACCACCACCGTCCGCATCCTCATCAGCGTCCATGGGGAACTACTTTCCGCCGCCCCCGCCGCCGCCGCCGATCCGGTCGCCCGGGGACGCCGTGGCCGCGCTGGACCGGAAGCGCAAGCTGATGGAGCACCAGCACCAGCAGCCGCACGTCGCGCGGCCGGCGCCGGCGAGGACCCTGGAGGAGCTGCATGCGTTCGAGGAGCCGGTGACGATCTACCCGAAGCGCGAGCAGCCGGGCAGCAAGCCGCTGTCGCCGTCGCTCGCGAAGATCGTGCTGCGGTAGCGCGAGCGGCGTTGACGCATGAGTTATAACTATATCTGTCTCTTACTTACGTCGTTTTTTGTTTTCGTGCTGTTTGTATCCGTTAATGTTATGCTCCGTGGTTATCTTGTTGTTGGGTGGAATGGATGTGGATGGGGGGGATTGGTTTTGTGCGGGATTGGGCTGTTTCCGGCGATTTCGTACGAGCTTAAAAACGTTCTCCAGTCTCACGTCGATAAGCCACTTCCAAACGTCGTTCAATAAGCGCCAGCGCTTCATATCTACATATCACAGGATTTTGAAATAATGAGATAAAAATTCGGTATCGCGCCAGCTCCCATTTTTTTTTGTTCCTCCTTCCCGAGTTGTTCACACCTTGCCTGCGATGAACGCCGCCGCGCTCGGGGTGTCGGCGCCGTACGTCCTGCGAAAACAAACATCAGTACTCAGTCCTAGTCAGCAACGCGCGCTCATCCGCCGGACGCCGGGACGCACAGGTGGGGCTCGAGGACGAGGTCGCCGTGCAGGCAGATGTCGTCGCCGGCGTGGCACACGACGTGCGTGCGCAACGCGCTGACGCCGCTCACCGCGGATCCGTTGTCGGGGTCGCCCTGCAGCGGCAGCAGCGCGTGAGTCACGTGCACCGGGGGGTGAGGGGACGGGGAGTCGCAACGCACGAAGATGACGGCGGCGCTGATGCGCGCTTGGACCGCGGGCGAGAGGAGGCGCGCGGAGTTGTGCACGAGCTGGCCGCCCTGGCTGTACCCCGCCGTCACGAGCGCGGCCTGTGGGGCGCGTATTCAGATTCAGATTCACTTGAGCGGTATCCCGCGCGGGGAGGAGGAGGGGGAGCCGCGGACCTTGGGACACGCACTAGCCGCGCTGGTCAGCTACAAGCACGCAGTCAGCCACTCAGCCGAGCAGAGCAGAGCACAACACCGCGCGCCACTCACGTCGTTCGCCATGGCGCGCGCGCCCTGCGGGTCGCCGCCCTCGAGGAACCCGAGGACGTCCGCGGCGTAGCCGACGCCCGCGAACGCGAGCGTCAAGTTCCCCTTCGCGCGCAGCGCGCGCTGGAGCGCGGCGGCGAGCGGGGGGCCGACGAGGGTGCCGATGGGCGCGGGCTCCGTCGTCCCGCGCGCGAAGAACACCTGCGGGCGGTCAGCGTCGGAGCGGGGGCCCCGGGAGGGGAGAGTCAACGCGCCATGACGTCCGCGCACGCGGCGCGCGGCGCTGCGCTCGTCGGCAGTGCGTGTGCGCGGAGCTGGACGAGGGGCGCGAGGCCGCAGAGGAGCGCAGACAGCTTTTGGGACTTCATGGCTGGGGAGAAACTCGGAGGAGGTATTGGGGTCTGCACGACGCGTCTGCGCGCGCTTTTATATGTAGCCGTCCGAGCAGGGGAGAGTGCCTCCGTCCGTCCGCAGCATCGCTCGGCAGCGAAAGTCTGGACTGAGCATATCAGCCCCGGATGCTGACCTCCTCGATGGCGAGAACCAAATCAGAACCCACCACTGAGCGGTCACAGGTGCAATCCCGCGCCCGATCCGCACTCGCCTACCGCGCCCCCTCGCAGGCACCCATTCAGGGAGAGCAAAAGCTTGCTGGCCGCCAGTAGCCTTTAGGCTCAAGTGTGCGCTCGAATGCGAATACGCCCGGTGCCTCTCGCTCGACGCGCGTGGGATGGCACGCCCGGCTGCTGTTTCTCGGCGTCAGAACCAGCCCGTATTCTGCTCAGCAGCAGGTCCGCCCGGCCGCCGACCACAGGAACAGGAGTCTATCGGTATCGGGGCGCCGTCTAGAGTCCTCTGGACTGGCGAAGGGAGAGGGGAATTAAAGATGCTGTATGTACATGGTTTCTACGGCAGCCCAACCTTCTTCTTTCCGAGTTTGAGTTGCCCTGGGCGTAACACATATAGACCCTGTGATACATTGAGATCCTGCTGCAGATCTGCAGAGCGCGAGAATATTCTGAAAACTCGGTCCTCGCAGGCGATCAATCGTCAAATCAACTGAACTCAAAATGGTCGGTCAAAGCCATGATATTGATGGTAAATAGGGTTAGGGTCAGACCTAATAAGGAACTAAAAAAAAAAAGTCGAGGCCCGCCTAGCCGAGTGGCCGTGGCGGAACAGGAAAATATTGAGACGGTGCATGAGCCGAAGCCCATACAAACCGCAGGCCCACTCTGAATGGACAGGGTCGCCGTGCTATGGAGTGTTCCCACGGCCCAAAAGCCCAGGTCCATGAAGGAGCTTATGCCATCAAGGTAAGTATGCAGAACCTAATGTTGGCAGGTGGATTATATACCCGGAGGGTGTGCACGGACCAGGTCACGTTGTCTCAGGCACGTGAGCCCCGTTAGATATGACGTATTAGCCCTGTAGAATCATGAACTAGACGCGTTTCTCGACATCTTTTGTTGGGGGAAAACGTCGGGTTTTCAGCGTCCCATGGGGGAGGGGGGCATGCGGGTTGCTTCAACACGGATCTCGAACATGGGCGTTCGAGTTATGTGGCACATGTAAGTATATGATATAACCCGTATTTGGTTCAACCCATCACAAGACTGATTCCCGCGCACATACGTTTCCAGACATGCTTTTCTCCGACCGCTAGGCTCATTCGGCAGACATGATGCAGGCGCAGCGAACGCGGAGCAGGTCAAGCAAGCCATGAAAGTTTAAGGATGCATACTAAGTACTAGAAGTTGGCGTCACGTCGCGTGATGTGTGATGAAACGCGCTGCCGACCATGACATGCCAGTGGATCGTCCGACACCTGGACTCGAGCTGACTCGGATGTCAGTGTGTGTTCCCGAGCTCGCAGGTTCAATGCGCGACACATTCTGCGACTCTGGAAGCCCGCGTCTGGTGGTCGCCCTCCACTTTCCCGGGCCCACCGCTCCGAGTCACGGATACCATGCATGCATCCGTCCGTTCACCCAGCGAAACCTGCTCTGCCTGGCACTCAACGTCTGCGCGCCGTTGGAAATCAGCTAGTGTGGGAATCCTCCTCCAAGAGATCGATCCATCTGCTCTGCCACGTCCTCAGACCGCGGCGCTCGAGACGACACCCCGGAAAACTCAGGGCTGGGTTGATTCGACCGTGAGGGCGGGTATGCACCGCCCGGACCGAACGTGCGCGCTTCCCTCCTCTCCCTTCGCGATGGTGTGCGCGACGGACGACACGGACGGCCTGTGAGCGGCCGCATCGCATCGCCCGCCGGGCACGTTCTGCGTTCTGCGTTCTGCGTTCTGCGCGTCGCGGCAGACCCTAGAGAGCACGTCGATCGGACACACACACGCGAGATCGAGATCAGGATCTCGGCGGGGCGCGCTGCGTGTGTGGCGGATTGAGCCTAGTCTCATCGTGCTGGTGCTGTAGCAACGATCCGCCTGCCCCGTGCTAGTGTCAGCGTGAGGCAGGGCAGGGCAGGGATTCCCGCGTTCGCGAGGTGGGGATGGCTGCAGCAGGATTGGCGCCCGCGGCGTGGCTGGTGTCCCGGTCTCGACGCATCAAGCGTTTCTGCACCTGGAGGCTACTCACCAGCCTGATCCATTTCCCGGCGGCGCACCTGGCCACGCCGCACCCGGGCTGTGCACGCACGTTCCATCAGGGCTTCAGCGCGCTGTCCAGAGCCTGATTGGGTGTTTCGCTCCTAGCTGCCAGACGACGGTCAGCCCGCGTCTCTATTTAGCGAGACGACTCTGACGGGCGTGTGTGTGCGGCGCTGGTGTCCATCCGGGGACAGCGTTCGTCACATCATCACTGCGTGAGCATCTTCCGCTAGTTTCGCGGGTGGGAGCGGTGGAGGATGTCGCCCGGGATGCGAAGCTACAAAACGGGTTTGATTGCGGTGGCCCGGATGTGCACCGCTAATTATGATGATCGTCTGCGCGTTCGTTCATCACGGGAGGGTGCCGGAAGGACAGCACAATTTGGCTTCAGTTGGATTGGAAAGACCCAACTCCTGCCGAGCCACGTCAGACTGGGAGCCCAACGGCATCCCCACCCAGATGATAAGCGGACATTTGGAGTTCGCGCAGGTCGGCAATGGCTCGGCCCGATATTCCAACCGTGCGAATCTGCCGCCTGGTGCTGTCTCTCTCCGCGCCGATGTTCACGCCATGCCCGGTCCAGTCCTACGCGGTCTCTGCAGCCCGGGGGCCTTCGAAATTCCCAGCCAAGCGGGCGAAGCAGAAAATAGCTTGCATTGTACACGATAGCAAAGATAGCTCGATTTCACGTTCGAAGCGCGTTCGCCTCACACTCACACGACCTGGCTGACCTTGCCCGAGCGCACGTCGTAGATCCACCCCGTGACGACCGTGCCGGGCAGGAGCAGCGGCTCGCCCTTGACCCACGCGACGTCCTCCTTGACGGACTCGGTGACGTCGGCGAACTCGAGGAACTCGAGCGCGTCGACGCGCGGCGCGAGCTCCGGCGCGGCGTGCGCCTTGATGTCCGCGCGCAGCTGCGCGGTGCTGAACGTGAGCATCCCGCACTCGGTGTGGTGGAACACAGCGATCTCGCGCGTGCCCAGCAGGCGCTGCGAGACCAGCAGGCTCCGCAGCGAGTCTTTCCTGCGCGCCGGTTAGAGCGGTCTGAGATCAGTGCAGTCGTCTGCTCACGCAATCCCCCCTGCGTTGCGGATCACGTGGGCGTCGCCTTCCGCGAGCCCGAGATGCGCTGCGGGGCTGTTTGCGGCGATGTTCAGTAAAATGCACAGCGACGGTTCGGGTGGTGCTTACTTGAGTCTAGCGTCCATGCAGGTCACTGGCACCACAACCAATATAATTCAGTACCGCGTCGATCCCCGTCTGTCCATGGACTCGGACTTACCGATAGCGATCTTCTTCGCAGGCGGGATAGGAAGCAGGCTCTTGTCGCCGAACGTCTCGACGTACGGCGCGTTCTTCGCCTCAAAGCTCGAGTGCACCGGGGCTTGGGACATCGTGCAAGTTGCTGCTGTGGTGGTGGTTAGAACAGAGACGAGGTGTGAGTATGCACGACCCACGGGCCATAGCCCATATCACACTAGAATGACGCGATTGGCTAGAGAGGGTGGAGACTGGCGAGCCTTTTGCGGCCTTGGGAAGTCGGGGTAGCCTCGGTGAGTGTATAATATCATCATCAGGTCACGATCCCAAATGCGTTACATTAGCAAGTTAAGTGGTATGTAGCATGAGCGATGGACTCAGCCTAAGAAGTGTTCGCGATTCAGCGACTATTACACAGAGTGTACGGTAGTTTACATCCAAATAAACGGGCCCTTAGAATCAGATATCCAAAATTGCTCCAGTCCGTCCGTTGGTCCCACGCCCCGTTGCCGACGACAGTGGGTTTTATATACACCTGACGGTGACTCGATCACGACCGAGATAGCCGAGGGAACGCTGTTGTGGGCCCCGACCTTCCATAAGGAGATGCTGCCCCGCGCGCTTAGCAGGCACTCGCACCACCCGCGCTCGACGACGCCTGCAGCTGCAGTGTACTGGGGTCCACGCTCCCCATGGTCCACGCACGCCCGCGCCACCCGAGCACGACCGTGCCCGCGCGGATCAGCTCGCTCAGGCGGTGGTGCTGGCGCGCGGCCGTGAGGAACAGCGACGTGCCGAGCACCCCGCGGGCTCGACGGGCAGCTGGCACCGCCGTCGCGTAGCATCTGTCACCCGCGGCTGGGGAGGTAGCAGTGCAAGTCCGCCGGACAGCAGACACGGAGCCATGTGCAGCAGATTCGGCGTCTGCCGACTCTAGCTCGATTCGCTTCAGCGCCGGATTAATTGCAACGGAGAGCATCGCCGGGGCCCAGACTGCCGGCATCGGTGTCCGGAGGGTATGCATTTCGGGAGCGATTGCGAGGGCTTCGACGAGCCGTGAGAGCGCTGCATCGGCGGAGAGCGGGAACGCGAGAGCTACGGATTCCTGGAGATAGCGTATCAGTTGCCAGCGCTAGGGCAAGAAGCAGAAGCAGAAGCACGCATCACGTACCAGTGACCGACAGGTTTCCACGACACCGGCCAGCGCATCCAATGTTGATCTAGGGCCCGGCTGGGAAAGATAGGTATTCGAAGCCTTCCTGATCGTGAGCTTCCGAAGTGTCGAGATACGCCCAAGCGATTCGGCGACCGCAGGACAGGTGCGTGCACTCGCATCTCCGCGGTCGCCCAGCAGCGTGACATCGAGCACATGCAGGCCCCCGTGTTGACACAGCAGCTCGACGATCTCCGCGTCCACAGCATTAGGCGCCGGGAGCACCAGGGTCTTCACAAATCCGGCTGCGGCAGGGCGAGTCTCGAGCGCGTGCAGGAAGTTGGCTGATTGGGAGGGGGTGCACAAGACGGCCGTCTCGTAAAATAGCGGGAGAGAGATACGATAGAATTGTTGGGATACAAGCAGAGGAGCGAGTCGAGTCCGGATGTCCTTCGCGGCAGCGGGCTGGTGCCAGGAGGGGCGTGTTCTGGGTGTCGCAGAACCGACGACGACGTGCGCGAGGATGCACTCGAGCAGCTCTTCGGGGAAGGTGGATAGTTGAACGAGCGCCATGGGGGGAGAGATCAAAAAGCAAAGCGATATACAAGAGACACGGCTGTGCAGCTGCAGAGGTTTTAACTTAAGTAAGAAGGAAGGGAAAGGAGATGGTCGGAAGGAAGCAGTCTGAGACAACGTAAGATGAGACCCATTAGACAGCCGGATTATCGCCACCGCCCATCACCACGCGTCTCCGTTGGGTCTAAGACCCACTGTCCAGGCGCAATCTCTGCTTCTCCCGGATAAGCTGCAGTGAGAACTCAAGTCACACCGGGGGATCACACATAACACGGCCCATAAAGAATAAATTATATTCCATATATCGTGACCCCAAAAAGAAGCTGACCTGATATGTCACATATCAGCGCAAAAACGACCTGATACCACGGATATCGGGTGCCGGGTATGATCCGGGTGCCCGATATGTCACATATCAGATCCCTTCATTTTTTATCCCCCAATATATAGAATATAATTGATTCTTTATGGGCCGTGATATTCGCAATCCCTCGGTGTGAGTGACCCGTTGCTTGTCATCGAGCCGTCCTTAAACTCGACATGCAAATAAGCCAGAACCATTCAAGCCCGAGGCAGCATATTATTGGGGTGCACCGTGCAGGCTGTTATGTACGCAGCACCGCAGGCATGCTTTCAAGGGTGAAGGTGTGGAGAGTGGGTTGTGTACGCAAGAGAGACAAATAACCGATCCCTGGAGTCGGGCTCAACGGGCTCCACGGCCAAAAAAAGTGCACTTGTTTGGGGCACGTGTTCGGTGCACCCTCTTTCGGACTTCCAGCATGGAGGCCAAGTTCTCCCTGGACAATATCCTTGGGGAAGACCACGAGCGTATAGAGACCGTCGGAGATGGGACGGCGGCTGCTCTAGACACGGAGGAGGATGGAATGAACGCCGAGCCGGTCGAGGAGGGCATGTGCGTCGAATGCGAAGGTGCCGCAACCTCCCAGATCGCTCTCGACTTCTATTCACGGCACTCCGTACTTATTACCACTAGACCAGCCTGCTGAGATTCGGTGTGAAAACTGCGAGGACGTCTTCTGCGAAGTGTGTTTTGCATCGCAGCACCGCAAAGGCACGCGTAAGCTACATGCGGCAAAAACCCTGCGCGCGCCAGGGCACGCGTCATCGTCCAACGGGACGGACCCGGCTCCCCACTCGGCGGTGGCGGCGGATGCGGATGCGGTGGGTGCTGATGAGCTCGTTCGACGGCCCCCCGCGTGTTGATCGCGTCTGAGCAGATGGAAACGGAGCCTGATTCCGATGACGATGACGAGTGGGAGCGCGTCGTCCCTGGGCCTGCTGCGACCACCGTCCTTCTGTCCTCCCAGCCCGCTGTAGGGAGCTCCGTCGGTGAATGGTTCGTGGAGCGCTCCAAGTTCATCCCTCTGCGCCTGAACCTGGGCGAGCGGAAATTTCTTCGGCTCCTGGAGGCGGCACTTTCCGTGTCCGAGTACACCGACAAAATCGATACCATTGGCTTCAGCATGACCAAGGCGAAAAGAATTGTGCAGCAGATCCGGGAGCTGTGTGCCATCATGTCAGGGTTGCTTCTGTCCGCAGACTACAAGCGTGGACAAGAACTCTTCACGGACCGGGATTTCCAGGCCAACGCCGAGTTCTATCAGCAGATCTTCGAGCTCGGGCGGCGACACAAGATCATGAATCCGGACAAGATGCGGACAACGTACGGGAAACTCATCTACATGCTCCAGTTCGTCGTGCGATGGCCTCTGCGTCATGAAACGCACTAACGAAGCAGAATTCAGGGACAGCCAATCATCCGAAGTCAAAGATCTGCTTAATTTCACTTGCGTAAGACCGATCAAGAGCGTCTACACCAAGCTCGAAGAGCACAGTGCCCTCGAGCTTCTTCGTGATGACCTCATCACCACTGCGACCAAGGAGATCTACGCGGAGGGCCGCTCGCGACGGGATATCCAGAGGGAAATCAAGTCCAAGGAGCGCGCGATTGAGTCCCTTGCTTCTCGATATGGTCGAGACGGGCTGTCCCCTGACGACGTCCGGCTCTGCCTGTACAGCATCGGCGACAACCACGCCTTCCTGCGAACAAACCGGGATCCTTGCGACCGCATGCTTTCCTATCTTAAGCAGTATTTCCACCCCACTGACGGCAAGGACTCCAAGAGCAGTCTAGCTATCCGGAGTGGCAAGAACGGCGCCCGGCTGTCGCACGACCACAGCAAGCAATACGCCTATGTGCTGCAAAGTCTGACCCTGTGGCGAGAGATCCTCCACGACATGTTTCATTTGTGGGTGCTCCCAACGCATGATTATTGCAGCTGCGGTCAACTCGGATTGCAGATGGAGCATGGCCGAGTCCGACCTTCTCGCTGAAAAGGTGCCCTACCGGCTGAGAGACACAGGCCAGGGCCTCAATCGCGTTCAGGCTGCGCCGAAGACGTCGAGGCTCATGCACCAAATCTTGAACAAGGCGCAAAAGAGTGTTGGACAGTGGATTGGTTCGAGGTAAACTTCGCTGTTGAGTCTGGATCCTTTATGTATCGCTGAAAAATCTCGAACAGTGTGATCGTGCGTGAAGCCAAAGTCTGCCGTGATTTCTCCCGTTCTCACTCCCTTGCAGCATATGGGAGATCATAATGTGCCCAACAGGTCAGCCTTGGCCGACGCCAACAAGCTCGTGTGCTGACTGTCCCACCGTGTAGTTTGATGTTCATCGACAAATACACTCAGATCTATCGCATTCTTCTCCCGATCTGCAACACTCTGTCTCAAATCGATGGCCTCGCAGCCAAGTCAGCGATTCGCTCATACATTGACGATGAGTTTGGGTCCCCGGATAATCTGCGACGAGAGATCTTGGGGGACTTTTTCCGGCATGGGTTCGATGGTCAGTCTTGCTTCCTTCCTTCCTCTCTCACGCGCCCAGCATCTATCTAACGGAATGTTCGTTTAGGCTCCGGCGGTTCGTCATGTTTTCGTGCTCGCTGTGGCGTCTACTGATCACCCTGCTTCCAGCGGACAACTTCTTTGACGCCGGCAGCTGCATCGATGGAAGGCTGACCAGTGCCTGGAACTGGTGTTCGACGTTAGAGAAGAAGCGGTACTTTCACATATTCCTCTTGACTGGTGAGCATGTAGTGCTGCATGCCTTGCTGATACAAGCTGATCTCTCTAGGTTTCTCCGGATTCGATGGCGAATGGTAGCGGCGCAAGGCTGTCTTCAATAGATGCTACATACATACACTTAGAATCAAGCAGCCACCTGTGCCTGAAGAACACTGCTCGGCACGGCCTGCTTCCGTGCTGCAGCAACGACGTCGAGTACACCAGCGAGGCCCGTTTTCCACGCAACTAGTCGCTTCTCCAACAATTCCCACTGCTCCTTCTCAAACGACCTCGATGTCGCACGAATCACACGCACGGTCTGCGCCGTCTGCGACAACTTCCCCGAGAGAAGCCCCGCACGGATGACTGATTTCCGGGATCATGAGCACAGCAGGAATCGGGGTCTGATCGTGTCCACGTACCGTCGATGACCCATTTTTCGACCTCGGAAGCCTCGACCTGGAGCGCTTCCGCGATTTTCGAGTATGGCAGATCTTGCCCGATGTTTTTGAAGCCCAGGGATGCGAGAGTGAGGAGACGGATCTTGCGTGCCAGTTGAGACTTGTTCAGGTGATAAGTCTCGAATGCGGCAGGATGAGCATCAGCCCACGCCGAGAACGCGGGCAGACTGTCGTTGAGGAATATGTGCAGAAGTCCGAAGAGTTCGTGGTTCTTGGCGGCCACGACCACATCGAGCTTGAAGAGAGGATCAAAATCGAAGACGAACGGCAGTCGGAGTGCGGTGGCGATGAGCTCGACCGCCGCTGTTTCTGATGATGGTGAACCGGCAGAGAGCGACCGAACATATGCGATCGAGTATTCGTAGGAAGTGGGGCTGGGTAGTTGAGTAAGCTGATGAGCGATGCCGGGAGGATAAACACCTACAGCTGCTGGGCCTGGCGGTACGCCTCCGAGATCGACTTCAAGAAGCTGCTCTTCTCCTCGGCAGAAACGTCCCACTCGAGCAACCATCTCTCGACATCAACGCGGGTGAGTTGCAGGGCCTCGAGTTCCTCGCGAGAGGTTGCCAGTTGCAAAATGGTGGTGTATACTTGGAGACGTAACGGAGATTTTCGCGGCAGGGTGTTGAAGAGGTTAGAGAGCCTAGCATCTGATGAGAACAGTCGCGAACGGTCGAAACTAGCATATGCGATGCATCGTGGATAATGGCACCTACAATCGGTATTTGATGGTGGCTTGCTCGACCGGGGCAGACGAGATAGTTTTGATCAGTGCGGTGACGGATGTCTTGACGTCGGGCGAGTCGGCGGGGAACAGAGTGAGAAGGTGAGCGTATATTAAGTTGAAGAAGCCTTCGATCTCTAAGGCAGGGTCAATCCATCTCGACTGCAGACGCGTTAGATGTGGATTGCCGACGCACCTTTTTCGGAACCCTCTCCCAGAGACTGGACATCGGCCAGCACCATCAGCAAGACCTTTCTCCTACGCTCATCATCCTCCGCAAGGGGCGTCGCATCTTCTTCAGTTTTCAGCGCATCTTGGTACGGTCGGATAGACGCAGGGCGCTCCTCCTCTGATTTGCTTCGGACGACATAGTTGACAAGCTCTTGGATCTGGGCCGCGACATAAGAGACGATCTAAAAACGGGGCAGGGTAGGCTGCACCTGCTCTTCAAACGTCCCTTCTCCGAAGATAGCGACCGAATCTGAGGACATTTCGGGAGTGGCAGAAATTTCACGAATCGGGTAACAGGCGCAAGCAACGCGACACCGCCATGAGCACCGCCACCAACGCACGTACCTATGCTTCGCTCTCTCGCGCGTCGCGCGGCCATCTCCTCTGCGTCACCAGCCCCGAATCCGTACACTCTTGGGCCTTACCAAGTATTTGACAGGAATGTCAAGAGAATCCAGAAAGACCGCGCTGCTTTACGCGAAGGCAGCAGGACAGTAGATTACGTGCGCGACGAAGTCGCGGACCGAATGATGGAGAGGTTCATGGTAAGTGCAGCGGTCCGCTCTATTGGCACGCTCAATTGTGCTCAGGACATAAAAAGAACGTTTGGAACTATCCTTGATCTGGGGTCTGGTCCAGGGCACTTCACGAAACTTATGGAGCCTGACAAGGCGCGTAAGGTTATTATGGTGGACTCCAGTGGTTGGTCAAGTCCATCTGCTGTCTCTTACGCTGCTTGAACTGCTCTGCCTACCAGAGAACACCCTACGACGCGATCCGGACTCGGACTTCGAAGGTTCGCCGCTCGCCATGTAATATGTTGTTGCGGCCTGATACTCATCCGTGCTATACACGTAGTGGAAGTCGAGCGTATCCACGCAGACGAAGAAAACCTGCTCCAGATCGTGGAACCCAATTCGCAGGAGGCCATTGTGTCGTGTCTTAGCTTGCATTGGGTCAATGACCTGCCAGGTTCTCGTCATCTTCAGTACGTGTTGCGCGCGCTGCTCACGTTTGGGAGCAGGTACTCTTGCTCAGATACGCGAAGCGCTCGTTCCAGACGGACTCTTCCTTGGCGCGATGCTTGGCGGTGACACGCTATTTGAGCTCAGGACTTCGCTGCAGTTAGCGGAAGTAGAACGAGAAGGCGGGGTCTCTGCCCGTATCTCCCCAATGACCAGTCTGCTTTCAGGGCTTTCCATTCTTCCGACCTTCTTTGCTTATTCCAGCTCAGACACACGGGATATCTCTAATCTAATGGGACGCGCTGGCTTCTCGTTACTTACCATCGACATCGATGAAGTCAAGGTCGCCTATCCGAACATGTGGGCTTTGATGGATGACCTTGGTAGCATGGGGGAAGGCAATGCTATTCTGGGGCCCAAACGCGCCCTTCGAAGGGACACACTGGCAGCTGCGTCTGCGATCTACCCAGGTGAGTTAGACCACTTCCCACTCGCGTCCTGGGTCGCATACATAAGGACCACAGCACTTCATGGCTCGGAAGACGGAAGTATCCCCGCAACGTTCCAAGTAATATATATGGCAAGTCCTCTGTCGTTCCTCGTCTCAAAGAATAATCGTTATTCGATCTAGATCGGCTGGAAGCCCGCACCTAGTCAGCCCAAACCATTGAAGCGTGGCTCGGGTGAGGTTTCTCTGAACGAGGTCCTGTAGAATGTAGCATCGGGTCGATGTAGTATGAGGTGTTTTGTGCCGGCTGCTTTTCTGGTACACCTTTCGATGCGATTGCACGTTGGATCCGGCAGTGCAGTAGGACTGGAGTGCATCTTTCTTCGCTCGCCATATTTGTTCCGGAAGATGCCGCATATGGCAGCTGGGCAAAGATTTGACTGTGAATTTGGGTCCAGAAGATACTTGTGACGATCAAATCTGCCTCGCGATCCTGTATATCTCCTTCCCGCGAATTGTTCTGTGCATACTTTCCGACGCAATCCTTCAAAGCTTCAGCCGCTCAGAAGTCTCAGATGCCTGTTTGTCTTTCGAAGTCCTTTCGCAGAAGCCCCGGATGGTGTGTGCACGCTGGAATTTTACCGAACCGCCACCAGGCGCGATTAGAGCGCTCGTGGCCCAAATGAAAGTCTTCTGGGCAGGATATAAGTGGACCGTGGAGGTCAGAGAATATCAAGACGATGCTTTTCTTCTTGGCTTTGGTCCTCGACTTCTTTCTGGCGGCCAGTGGCGCGCTCGTGCCGGACCGTGTGTCCAGAATCAAGGAATCTATCGACGCCCCGCCTGCGGGATGGACGCGGATCGACCGAGCGCCGCCTCATCTGTCTGTGCGGCTGCGGATTGCCTTGATGCAGGGTCAATTTGATGAGCTTGAGCGCCGACTGTATGAAATCAGCGACCCGGACCATGCTCGCTACGGCGCGCATATGACGAAACAGGACGTCGAATCGCTCGTGCGGCCGCGCTCGACGACGCTGGCTCTCGTCGACGAGTGGCTTGCGACATTCGGATTCAACACAACCACTCTGGACCGCTCGCCCGCTGAGGATTGGGTGACGCTGACGGTCCCCGTGCCTATTCTGGAGCAGATGCTCGACACTGTGAGTTGTCGACCGACGCGTTGTCAGCAAGCACTGAGCGGATCTGCAGGAATACTTTATCTGGCGACACGACGACGGGGAGCTTCTTGCTCGTACGACGAGCTACAGTCTGCCGGGGTACCTACACGAGCACGTTGAGCTTATCCAGCCCACCACGATGTTTGCGCGATCACCGAAGCGGGTAGCAAGGCCCGCGGAGGATAAGCATGCCGTCGACTCTGACTGCGGAACAATGATCACGCTCGCCTGTCTGAGGCAGCTTTACAGCGCGGATGGATACACCCCGAGGGCCCCCAAGAAGAACGCGATCGGCATTACGGGGTTTCTCGATCAGTACGCTAATCACAAGGATCTGGCTTCTTTTTACCGCGATCAGCTGCCCGAGGCTGAAGGCTCGAGCTTTCGGTTCGTTTCGGTGAACGGTCTGTCCTTCCTGCCTCCCCACCGCCGCTGCTGACTTTCCCCGATAAGGCGGTGCGAACAACCAAAGTCTGTCGGCTGCTGGAGAAGAGGCGAATCTCGACGTGCAATACGCGCTTGGCCTCGCCTACCCGACCCCGGGGACGTTCTGGTCGACGGCCGGGAATGGCCCATTCCACCCTGACGCTCGGGTGCATGATCGCACGTACATCTTCTCGGTCTCGTCATTCGATCTCATTTGTGCGTATCAGCGGACAACGAGCCTTACATGACTGTGCGTTGCAAGCCAGTTTGATTTGGAGACCGATCGGCAACTCTTCTGACAGTGGCTTGATCATGTTCTCCGCTCCGACCGCCTTCCGCAGACCATAACGACTTCCTATGCGGACGACGAGCAGACCGGTCCGTCGCCGTTTGCGGATATGCGCAGCTACTGAATCCGGGTGCAGTTCCCAGTGCTTACGCACGACGCGTCTGCAAGCGCTTTGCCGAACTAGGTGCGAGTGCTGTCTCGCCACCCGGGCGCATTAACACCCGCACACACGGTAGGCTGTCGAGGTGTCTCGGTGATATTTGCGAGCGGAGATTACGGTGTCGGGGACGGAGATCCTGAAGCAGAGTCACAGCAATGTCTCAGTACGACGAGGCATCGGACAAGGTGTGTGTGTCTGTCGATGGGTTGTCATTGGGGCTGCAAGATGCTGATATGTCTAGATTTATCCCAGCGTTCCCAGCGTGAGTGGCTGAATGATTATTCAGATGTTAGCCTCACGCCATCGACAATCAGCTCCTGTCCCTAGTGCGCGCTGTCTGTTCTTCGCTCGGGATGTCGTCTGACAAATCGAAGTGTGACTGCGGTCGGTGGGACGATGGGTATTCCAGAGGTGGCGGCCGCTTTCAGTGGCGGCGGTTTCAGCGATTACTTTGAGAGGTAAGCGCCACAGTTGGCTCTATGCGGCAGTCACTGACCTGATTCAGGCCAGCGTATCAGCATAAGGCTGTCGAGAGATATCTCCACAAGCTTCCCCCCAAGACGTACGAGGGACTGTTCAATCGGTGCGTTTGGCAGTCGCGCACTTGGCATGGAGCAGCAGCTCATCTCCGATGTCCAGGGGCGGAAGAGTAGCTTTCCTTTCCTTGGCCCACGATTACACACCCCACTGACGAAGGCTCTGCACAGGGGATCCCAGACGTTTCGGCGCAATCTCACAAGTTCTCCATCTACTGGCAGGGGAGCCCGATCACCATTGGCGGCACCTCGGCCTCAGCCCCGACCTTCGCGGGAATCGTCGCCCTCCTCAACGACGCACGGCTGGCCCGGGGCCGACCGGCGCTCGGATTCTTGAACCCGCTGTTGTATAAACGTGGGGTACATGCGCTGAATGATATCGTCGAGGGGAGAAATCCGGGCTGCGGGACCGGTGGATTCAATGTAGGTCGTCGTCCTCCAGCTGAGATCTCCTGCCAGGGTATTGACTACATCTTCAGGCTACAGAGGGTTGGGATCCTGGTGCGTGGCTGCGCACTCTCGACGTGTTGACCTGCCTCATAGCATGTAGTCACTGGACTTGGGACGCCCAACTTCCGGGAGCTCTTGAAGGTCGTGCTGTGAAGCGCTGATATCGTCAATTGCATGCATGCAATGGATTCTGATCTGCGTAGATTGTACATATGAGACTCCGAGAGCGGACCGGCGGCCCCGTACCTATCTTATTGATCGATCGTACTAGTTGTTGACAGCGTCTACCGGCAACGCCCGTTATCACCTTAGCTATTGCGACCGAAACGAAAACCCGATTTTTTTCCCGGACCAACGCCATTCCCTGCTATACCCCTCTCTCTCTCGGTGCCTATTTTTGAAGGCGGCTTTTCAAATATGATCCCGCACACACGGACAGATTCTCCACACGCCGGACACGAGGGTCCAGCCGGGCCTGATGACACCGATCTTGCGGCTGGCGTGATATCTCTGATTGCAGATCGTCAAGGCTTCAGGAACAGCCTTATCGACCTGCTTGAGTAATTTTAAGCCTCAACTTGTTGGTGGGTCGCGCGCGCTTGCAGGTCCGGCCTTGCGCCCGTGTTCCCCGCCCGTCCATTCGTCTGTTCGTCGGCCCACGCGACTGTCCGATGCCTGGGCCTATCGTCATTGCCAACACGAGCGAATTCCCGCTGGACCAGGCCATTCCGGACGTGTATTTTACGCGAGTGGAGAACTACATCCTATGTGCGTGCATGCGCTGTTCCTCCGTCTACAGCCCACTTATTCCGAGCGGTTAGATGCGACGGCGACGCTGCTTATCTACGAGATTCTGGTGACCTTCGATCAAGAGGTGGAACGCGTCTGGTCGTGCGTGGCGTGCTGCTCTCTTCCCAGAATTTTTGGGCTCACATTTCGATCGCGCAGTCTCCGATGGCGCCTGCCGAAGTTTCTGTTCTTCCTGAATCGATATGTGGCACGAATACTTCTAATGTGCGTCCTTGAACCTCCGGGTCCTTCGCTTCGTGTTTATTTGCGGCAGCATGAACTGGATCTCGAGCGCGTGGCCGACACCGTCGCCAGAGTTCTGCCACTTATACGTGTACTGGCAAGCAATGTGCGTCCGCTCCCAGCTCACCGGGAACTCCCGCCCCAACTACACATGCCAGTCCGTCACGGCTAGCCATCCTTGCCGCCCAAGCAGTGATGGTCATCAGATTGTGGGCCATCTGTACGTCGTTCTTGTTACTGCACGCGTCCGGATCGCCGCTGAGCCTCGTCCGCAGATAACAACAGTCGGGTATTGACACTTTCCAACCTTCTCTGACCAGACTTCCTAAGATTCTCTTAGCTCATGTTCGTGGTTCTAAGCACACTGTTCGCAGGTCTGTCTTGTTATCGGGTGCACGGATGTCACATTGAACGAGCTTCACACAGCGGAGACGGCGGCTCTCGTAGGGTTCTTGTCCTTGGCAATCCAAGAAACACAAGGTCAGAGCGATCAGGTTTGTTGCATGACAGTTGGTAACATATGCGGCGATAGGAGCTCTGGATCCCCAGCCACTAGGATGTGATCTTCGTCCGCTGAGCCCTCATCTAGGCCAATATGCCAGTGCTACTTGGTAACGCATTTCCGAAGCAGATCACGCCCAGCTCTCATCTCCAGCGCAGGATAGCTCCCGTCTGCTTCGAATGTTCGCCCGTCATGATCTGGGTGATCCTCCCGTGCTGATCCTCTTCTCGGGCAGTGATCATTGTCATCATCACGTTGCTGAAAGTGACACCTCCTCTCCCCATGAAATACATGAGACGGTGGCCCATCCTGATCAAGATATTCCCCTTGGCAATAGGTCCCGGCAATGTAACGTAAGAGCTGGTCTTTTCCTTGGTCAACGGTGGTCTTGAATACTTTGTAGACTGGATCTGCTTGCCCGAGATTCTCTAATTTACTTCGTGCTGATATTTGGTAAGTGCGCAGGTCTTGACAATATTTTTATAACGGCTATTCCAGCTCTCACGCTTGCCAATGCGCTGTTGTACGAAATCGCGTTCGATTCTTATTTCCGATCTGTCCTACTCGGGTACGCAACCGCGCATATTTCCCCGAACTCATCATGACCATGAGCCAAGCCCGACGGCAGCAATATCGTGCATCGCGGTGTCGAGCATGATTATCAATATCCGCTCGATGCATGGACCCGCGATGAGCGAATTCGACACCGAGCTCCGGCAATCCAAGACCACCACGGCAGAAGCCGGCATGCTCGTTTTCGCCGACTCGTACGCAGCAGACTTCGATGTGGGCATCTCGCCTCACGCGACTTCGCATCGCCCGCGACGCTCGAGCGCGAGGGGACGTGTGACTAGCGAGGAACGAGACGAAGAAGAAGACGGATTGGAGAGCGACGAGTACGAGGCGTACGAGCTGAACGAGGTGGACGAGAGTTCTGTGAAGGAAGTGTAGGATATCTATTGCTATGTATTCAGGTTCTTTGGGGTCAGTGTTGGACATCGAAAGTTTCGAGACCAATCTAGCCACGTCCAGGACTCGAAAAGCTGGGAAAAACGGCGTCAACACACACAATTGAACAAACCATCGTGACCTAAACATTGATCTGGGTCGGTCCAGTGGCGTTCATCCGACGGATGCAATGGAAACAAAGTTGACTGCGGAGCGGGGGAAGATGTTTATATAGACATGGAGTCCACACACACGCGCCACACTTGCTAGGTCAGCAGTGACGACGTGCCAGGCCCGAGAACGTCCGGCGAAATGCTGATTGGGCGTCGGGATGTCGAGGGCAAATCCGACAGCGAGGCGTTGAGACACATCGATGGATATCTGCCAGCATCACGGCTGGACTTGCTGGTGCCGAAGCGCCTTGCGATCGCCAAAGTCGCAGGCTGGGTGTTCGAAAGGGAATCTCATGCGCGGGTTCGGGCTCCATGAGATCTGGAGAGCATGGCGATGAAGGGATGGATCACAGAGAATGGAAGTGAGCCCTGCTGGATCCAGCGAGAACATCAAGACGTGCTGGGAATGCTTGAAAGACAGCCCATCAGAACGGCAGGGCACAAGCACAAGAGGACGCCGCGTGGCCGGCGCTTCAGGTTCATGACATTCAATACTTGCCGGACGAAAGTTTGGCCCGGCGTCCGTCCCCTCTGGACCAGCCATCTAGATCCTCGCCGGAGACTGCGGTGCTATCGACTGGTTTCTGTTCTTGATTTTTCGATCGGTCTATTTCGCGATCGCAATCAGTGGCAAGTACGACGCAGGGACACGGAGCAAGTTCCCGATAAGCTATGTGCTGAACGAGATGCGGAGGGACCGAGCTATCGAGGGATCCGGGTGCAGGGAGGGCTTGAGGAAGAAACGTGACCCCACAGGATCTCGACTCCCAGTCTCGAACACGGTTGATGTGAAAAACCAGATTTGTTGCCGGCGCCCTGATACATATACATAGCTTACAACTTCTGACGCTCGATCGCGAAGACAATTCTCTTCGTTTTCACACCCAAAATCCTCGTCCAGCCCTGGAGTCGTCTACTGCCACCACCACCACGCCCACCATCCCCACCGTATCCCCCTCCTTCGCTAAAATGGCGCGCACGCACAGGCGATCGCCGTCACCGGGCCCCACCGACGCAACGCTCGCGAAGAAACTGAAATCGACGCACGTCTCGCAGGTCCTACCCACGGTTAACGGATCCCCGTTCTCGAACGGGCATGTTAACGGCTCGAATGGACACACACCCGGCGCACCTGTCGACCCCACGTCGCGTTTTGCCGAGGACGTACTCCTACACTCCACAATCGCCAAGCTGAATTCGGCATACGAAGGGAGCGCTCCGTTCAAGTACGCGGTAGTGGAAAAGCTCTTCCAGGACGACCTGCTCCAGAAGGTCAAGGACGAATGCATGAGCGAACTGAGCTTCACAGAGAAGGAGACGGACATCTACAAGGTTCGTCTTCCATCTCGTGCGTGTCTACGTCAGACGGGGACACACTCATAGCGCTGCATTCGCAGGTGAACCAAACCGGCGACCTGGCGTCGCTGAACTTCCTCACGTCCTCCCAAATATCGCTTCTCCCGAGTCTCCTCGCGCTGCGCGATGCGCTCTACTCCCCCAAGTTCCGCGAGTTCCTGCGCGCCGTGACAGGGTGCGGGCCGCTCTCTGGCACGAAACGCGACATGTCCGTCAACTCGTATACGCGCGGGTGCCACCTGCTGAACCACGACGACGTGATTGGCTCCCGGCGCGTCTCGTACATCCTCTACATGCCCCTGCCGCATTTCCAGTACTGGCAGAAGGACTGGGGCGGGGCGCTCGAGCTCTACGCAACCGTCGTTGGCCCCGACGGCGAGCGCGAGCCCGTGTGCATGCCGAGCAAAAGCATCCCCCCGAGCTGGAATCAGTTCATCTTCTTCGAGGTCCAGCCGGGCGAGAGCTTCCATTCGGTGGAGGAGGTTGTTGTGGGTGGAGAAGGCGAGGACGGGCGTGCGCGGTTGAGCATCAGCGGGTGGTTCCACGCTGCGCAGGAGGGCGAGGACGGGCACGTTCCGGAACCAGCGGAAGGTGTGCCCAAAAGCTCGCGTGAGCAGCTGGTACGTCCAGTATTCGACTTATGTATGCATGTTCTCCCCGCTCACGATGTGGTCCAGGCTATGAGCTCGACTGCGTTCAAAGAATATCCTACAGATCTAGAGCCTGAGGAGGCCTTGTCGGAGGAACACACGGCTTTCCTCTCCGAATTTCTAAATCCAGTCTATTTGCAGCCGCGCACGATGAAAGCGCTCGCAGCCCGATTCGTGGAAGAATCCTCGCTGGAACTGCACTCGTTCCTCTCCAATGATCTGGCACATGCTCTGGGGCCGAGATTACGCGAGCTGGACGCCGCTGATGGTCTAGGCCCAGATCGACTCGGGAAAGTTCCGCCCCACGAGTCGGGAACAAAGGGAGCGTGGGATATCCGGGGGCCACCCCACAAGTGGCGCTACTGCACGCTTCGGCCCCACGACGCGTTGGCCCCGGTGCAGGCCGTGACACCCCTGGCTGCCGGATCGTCCGACGACATCCTACGGGCTGTCCAGGACGAGCTGTTCTCCTCGCCAGCCTTCCGAGCCTGGATCGCGATTGTCTCGCGATTGCTCCCGACACGATATGCAGTGGAGGCCCGGCGATTCCGGCCCGGGTTGGACTACACCCTTGCGACGAGCGAAGAGAAGGAGGCCCGGCTGGACGTGGTGCTCGGACTGACGCCGGAGGTGCTCCAGGAAGACGCCGGCCCAGATCCAGCAGGCAAGAAACGGACTCGCAAAACCCGGGAGGTCAAGCCCCGCGGCTGGCAGGCAGCAGAATGGGGCGGCTGGGAATGCTACATGGCGCCGCACAACGAGGAGGACGATCCCGCCGTCTACCGCGCGGGGACCATCAAAAAGCCTGCGAGCGCTAATGCCGATACGAACGGGCACGCCAATGGGAACGAGGACATCGAAGATGGAGACTCGGACGGAGAAGCCGAGGGACGTGAATCGATGGAGGTCGACGGTGAAGAGGAAGAGGACAGCACCCTGCTTACCGTTCAGCCGGGGTACAACCGGCTGTTGCTGGTTCTGCGAGACGAGCGCGTGATGCGCTTCGTGAAGTACGTCTCCGCGCTCGCCGAGGGCTCGCGGTGGGACGTCTGCGGTGAATACGAGGTCGGGATGGTCGAGCAGGACGCGGACGGAGATGGAAGCGCCGACGAGGACGAGAACGGGGCCGAGTGATCGATCTACACTATCTTTTCATCCTACATACATAGTCGTACTCATACTATTCAGGGGTATTCGAAACGAACACGCTAATCACGGGGCATGTAGTCTGTATCCATCCGCCTTTCTTATGTATAACCTTTGTTTTCCCCCGGTCTCCCTGGGCAGCGCCTCAGTTCGTTCAGCCACTAGAGGGATGCAGAGTCGATCAAGTGCCCCTTCGTTCAACATATAGCATAACAACTTCTTGTCCAAGGCTGCAACTGCACTAGCTGAATCACAATCCTGAACCACAGCATCCGAGCAGTCTTCTCAGAAGGTATGTAGCAGATCTCTCTTCGGATCTTGGTACTGGTTGATGCTCAGCCGAGAAAACCGACTAATCGGAATGACCACCTTCAGGAAATCACTACACTCCATCAACCAATTATTACGTCGTGCATGCACTCACTAGTGCTGTCCAAAAGTCATTACTGAGATGGCAGGGATGATGCTTCGACGGCTGCATTTCTGAGAACAATTCCAAGATTCGGAGATCTGCAACCTCTTCGAATCTTCTCGTGGTAAAAGTACATAGCAAGGATTACAGAGCGAGCGTAAGATAGATATGCGGCAGTGGCAGAAGTCGAACGAAACAGAATCACTTGGAACCAAATGAGAAGCTGGGCGTAGTAGATCCATTGGCTCCAGCCGCGGGCGCAGTCGAGTTGCTGCCAAAGCTGAAAACAGGCGCAGGCGCAGTCGTCCCTGCACCAAATGCGCCCGGTTTCACACCGAACGGACTGCCCGCAGGTGTCGTCGAGCCACCAAAAGCGAACGTACTCGCCGCGGCAGGTGCTGGTGTGGCCGCCGTCCCTGACGTCGCTGCCGGTGCAGCCGTCGTCGACCCGAATGCACCCGTTGCAAACGGACTGCTGGCCGGTGTCGCAGCGCCACCGAATTTGAATGCACTAGCTGGTGCTGGTGCTGTCGTCGTCGTGGTGCCGTCGCCGCGGCACCAAAGCTGAAACCGCTAGCTGGAGCCGGCGTCGCCGTCGTCGGAGTGGTGGCCGGTGTCGATCCGAATCCACCCGCGACCGCACCCCCAAACGCATTGGCCGGCGGCTGCTTCACCTCCCCATCCTTCACGTTCGAAAAACTGAAACCCGTCGTCGCTGGCTTGTCAGCAGCACCACCGCTCCCAAATGCAAACGGCTTAGGATCCCCCAACGCGCCAGACAGACTGGATATGGCCGCAGGTTGACTACCGAACACAGACGCCGGGCCAGCACCACCAAACACAGAGGGTGTCTCAGCTGCTTTGCCACCAAACACATTCGCAGTCTCAGCGGGCTTCCCGAACGCAGACTGTGCCGGCTTCCCAAACGCAGATTCCGTGTCAGCCGGTTTGGCGCCGAATGGTGATGCAGAATCTCCAAAAGCAACAGCCGGTTTAGTCGTCTCCGCGGGCTTTGTCGCATCTGCTCCCACCAATGGCGCAGTTTTGCCAGCACCGAAAGCGGACGCGAACGCCGTCGATGAAGGGCCCGCAGTGGTACCGTCCGCTGGCTTAGCACCGAACCCTGAACCACCACCAAACGCGAAATTGGGTGCCTCCGCTATTGGCGGCACAGTGGTCGCAGCTGCTGCTGGTTTGGTTGCTGCCGGTTTAGCATTCGCCGTCACCGCCTTGAACGAAAAGCTTGGGGTCGCAGTGGCAGTTGCATCAGCGCCAGCCGCAGGGGCGGCTACAGGGGCAGCTTTCACCGGAACTGGGGCGGCCAACGCAGCGGGTTGGGGTTTCGCAGCCGGAACACCGAAAGCATTATTCGTCGTGGACCCAAACGCACTGCCAGCAGGAGGAGCAAACGCACTACCACCAGCCACCGGCGGTTTGGGAGCGCTGGAAGGGAAGGCCGACTTTGCTGCTTCACCAGCGCCTGCCTTCTCCGCAGGTTTACCTGCCATCCGAGATAACAACGATCCGCCGGATGCAGGAGCCGGTGGTGCCGGAGCCGGAGCAGTTGCCTTCTGGCCAAAGGAAAACGTAGGTGCAGCTGGCCCTGACGGTGCCGGTGCCGGTGCCTTCTGAGGGAGCCCAAACGCCGTCGACGCCGGTCCTGGCGCTGACGGTGCTGAGGCCGGTGCCGATGTCTTCTGGCCAAATCCAAACGGCGATGCAGCTGGAGCTGGGCTCTGCACCGGCACTTTCTGACCAAACCCAAACGCGGAGTCGGATGTTTTCGCTACTTGAGGTACTTGAGCAGACGGGAACGGATTAGCAACCCCCGGTGCCGGTGCCGGTGCCGAGGCTGCTCCCGGCGTTGGAGAACCGAAAAAGTTGTTAGCGGCCGGCAGCTTCGGCGCTGTAGGGGCCGCCGCTGGTGCAGCGAAAAAGTTGGTTGTAGCAGGCTTGGTAGCGGCAGGTGCAGGCGACGAGGATTTTGCTGCGGCCGTCGCCGGCGCCGCAAAAAAGTTGTTGCCAGGCTTCGCTGGCGGCGCCGCAAACAAATCTTTCCCAACAGCAGCAGCAGCGTTGGGTTTCGCCGCGTCCGCCGCTGGAGTAACAGTTTTCGGGGCCCCCAGTGAGAAAAAGTTGTTGCCTGCAGGTTTATCGCCTGGCCCGGGTTGGGCTGCTGGGCTGCTGGCCGTGGCATCTTTTGCAGGCGCACTACCAAACGAGAACGGACTCTTGCTTGCCCCCTCTGGTGCTGGTGCCGGTGCTGGCACGGCCTTTGCCGGTTCCGGCGCCGTGATCGCAATCGTAGGCACCGTCGCCACCGCCAGCTTCTCCTTTTCCTTTTCCTTCAGCCGAGCCTGGTTCACCTCCCGCATCTTGAGCATCGCCTTGGCCTCGAGATCCTGCTTCTCCCACTTGGAAAACGCACGCCGCGGACTCGGTCGGGAAGCCACATTGTTCGTGCTGTCGACCAGATTCGCACCAGCAGTCCCCGTCTCGTTCCTCAACCCCCCAAGCCGCCGCATTCGGCCGCCTGTTTTCAGGAGCTCAGCCCTGTCGAACGGATTCATTCGCACGCCCAGATCGCTCGCGATCGATTGTCGGAATCGCATGGGCTGCACCTCCTTCACGGGGCTGGGCGTATAACCATTGGGGAACGGGGAGACCGGCGAATCCCACAGTAAGTTTTTGCCCGGCTTCGTGATCGGCGTCGGCGTCATTGGCTGTAGCAAAGACTTCAGCGCCAAAGTTTGCGAGCAAGATGAAGGAACCAAACACACCACTTCGGCGGCCGGTGCTGGCTGCGGAGCCTTGGGCGAATCTTGCCACGCCAGTAGACTTTGTGCCTTGTACTTGTCGTATTCCTCATCTGTCAACCACATCTCGACGCAGACTTCCAAGTTCTCGTCCCGATCCGGATGCTCCGAGTCCAGAGGCTGTCGGCATTCAATACCTATCAGCAATTCTAATAAACGGACCACTCACCATATTGAATCGCTTCGCAGCTTTCTTAACGAGAGCCTGTCTCATCCGTTGTCCGTTCTGTCCAACCTTGTAGTAAACACCGTTGCTTTCCCATTCCTCGCCAATTTCCCGCTGTTTGCCCTTTGCAGGACTGGAAACCCCACCGTCGTCTTCGACAGGTACCAAGCTGCCCTTCTTCCCTCTCTTTTTGGTCTTCCGCTTTCCTGGAGTCTCCAAGACTTCATCGTCGCTCGCCTCATCCCCGTCTCGATCACGGTCCCGCTTCTGGCCGCGAGAAGGCACAAGTGTCACAGGAAGCAGAGCTCCATCGGATTTTCGCGCAGATCGGCGCTTTCGCTTCGCTTTTTTGCCGCTTTCCTCGTCATTCTCCACCTCACGCCCTGTCCGTTTCTTGCCACGCGATGAAGAGGTCGACACCGACGGCCCGGTCTCGTCAGGATCCACTTGCATGTCATTGTCACCATCACCGTCATCTCCATCGTCCATATCCACATCGTGAACTTCCGCCACATCCTTCTCAAGACTGACTTTCCTCGCCCGCTTGCCCCGGATCGGCTCAGCAGCATCCTGGTCCTCATCCACAGCTTGATCCCGTGATACTCGTTTTGAGCCCCGTTTGTGATGCCTGGGTATCCATTCGGCGGCTTCATCTCCGTCGATGAACTCCTCGCCCTCGACGCGTGTCTTCTTGGGATGCTCAGGCTCATCCGATTCCAGATGATCCTGTTCATCCAGAGTGCGTTTTTGTTTTTTGGGCGAAGAAAGGATATGGGAAGAGCGTTCGGCGAATCGGACAGCAGGAGATGGATGGGCCATGCGTGGGCCGAAGGGAGAACTGGAGACAGCAATCAGTTAGTGGAATGGTTGAGCATGAGTATTCAACACGTACGATATTTCGGCACCACTCGCCGCCACCGGGAAATGTCGTCGCTCACGACTTAGAGAGAATTTACCCGGCAGCCCAGAAGTGCCGGATGAACCCCCCGATGCCCACGAGGGTTGCGTGTTCGCATACGTGGCTGTCCAGGAAGATTAGATAAAAAAACGCGGTCGGCAAAGAAGAGCAATCAGCCTACGTTTGCGCTGCCTCGCAGCTCCCTCGCCCTCCCTGTCCGCCGCAGCCTGCGCATATAGCGCGTCGACATCAACCCTCTCCACGCCGTTATTCGCGACCTCGCTCTCGCGATGCGCGCGTAGCGCCGCAGCATGCGCGACGTTGAAGGGCCGGTGGTCGTGGTCAGGAATGCCGAACCGCCGGCGTGTCGCCCTACGCAATCAAACATGCTGTTCAGCTGAGAATAAGGAGCTGGGAGGGAAGGAGACACGTACAGACGGTGCGACTTTTCTCTCCATCGTCCCAACCGGGCCCACACACGCATGACACCCAGATAGCCCATCAACAGCAGCGCGACATAGAATGCCATCTTCGACACGCCCGGCCAGGACGAGGCCGCCGCGACTGGGGCCCTCATGGGTAGCTTGGTGTTGCGGCCCAGGATGTCGGAGGACTCGTCAAAGTCCATGATATGGTAGACCAGCTGCGAGTGTGGGTGGACAGAGACTAGCGACGCGCGGAAAGATGATGCAAGTGATGAAGGTGGGAGAGAAATCGGTTCCGAGTGTGTGTCAGTGTGTACGCTCCATCAGTTTCTAGTCGTAGAGTTCTTGTGCGTGACCGACGAGATCACGTCACATGAATCACGTGGCGGATTTGGACTGAGAACTCGCACAGCTTCTGATAGCCTTGGGATGAAGCATCTTAGCTGAGTTGAGAACAGACAACGTTCGCAGTGATGAACTTGAATCTTGACCTAGCAATGATAAGTACGTGCGTAAATACAGAGATAAGCGACAGAGAGCATAGTTTTGAGCATAGATCGAGAGCAGTAATCAGTACAGAGAGCAGTGTGATGGGTCAATAGCAAGATAACGAAAAAGCGAGCAAGTGGATATACTGGAACAACAATGGTAGCGTCAAGCAGTGGGATAAGAGCATAACATGTGAGCAAAGCGATCATCAAAGCAGGAAAAAAGCAAACGAAAATTCAAAAAGGGGACATCACCGCATGTCCACCCGAGTCTCCTTCCGCGACAGTTGCAGGGGCTTGAGACTGCGGCGACTGCCCGCAGACGATGCCGCGTATTCTGGGGAGACGTTCTCGCCCTTCATGCGGCTGCTCCCGTGGTTTTTCTTCCGCAGCGACAACGGAGGCGTCGAGTTCACGTCCCGGTCCTGCAGCAGAGCCAACGGCCGCAATCCAGGCGAGCCCGGCTGCTGTTTCTGCTTGGCCTTGTGCACAGCGTCAGAAATCTTGCGCTGCAGCTTGGCCGGGCGGGCGATCACGCGCGAGGACCACTGCGCAATCGACGACATCGCAGACGGATTCGTCGCTGGGTCCTCCACCGGAGACGTGATGTAAACGATGCTGGAACGGCGGTTCGGCAGTGGCAGGGGAGGAGGCCGTTGTTTCGAGACAGGCTTGTTGGCTATGTTGTTGTGAGGCGTGCTTTCGGCCTGGGGGCCTTCGCCGTCGAACTCCTCGAACAACGTCGCAGTCGAAGCGGCAGAATTGGGCATCTTGAACGACTGCAACGATTGGCGTGCGGAATGCGGGACATCGGACTGCAGACCGAGTCGACGAGACGAAAGAGCACGAGTGAGCTGTGTTCCAGCCCGAACTTGGACATGGTCAACAGACTCTCCACCAAAGACCGTCACTCGACGTGCGTCGTGATTTTGTAAAGCCTGGGCGATTTCATCAGCAAGAGGGTGAACTCCATCTTTGCCGAGCCCGAGGCTAGGGAGACTGAAGTGGTGACGGCCGTGCATCGATCTCTTCTTCGACCTGACATTCTGCGACCCAGCCGGCGTCGAATGGAGTTGCGGCGATGAGATGTCACCTCCAAATTCTTGGAAAGCCCGCTTGCCCTTAGCGCGGCTGAAGCTTGCAGGTGGCGTATCGCGGATCTTCATGTTACTTCCCACTTTGAGGCCTGGAACCAACAGTGGCAGCATCCCCGCCGAAATGACGTCGATCTCGTTGATGTCGTCGACAGGCCCGAACGAGTATCCAGATGAGAATGACTTGCGGTGCTTGAGATGGGCAAGACGGGCGGCGCGGACACTCGGAGGCGTCGGGGGCAAGGGGAACGAAGGTGGCGGGCTGATATTAGTGTTGCGATCACCGTGCTGAGCAGAAGACGTCGATCGCGTGCGGAGATGTGCCGACTGGCGCACTGCGGTCGATGTTCCCTGGGTCTCCTGCTTTTCAGGTGAAGCACCGCTGGATACCATCATAGTCTGTGCGAGAGTTGAGAAGTGACGGTGCGCAACCATGATCTGTCCGCCAGAGCTCTCGTCCACAGCCGAGCTATGTTCGCGCAATCGACCGAATTGTGCGCTCATTTCGGACTGCGTGCTGTTGTGGATGGAAACCGGCAGAGACGAGTCGTCGTCAGGGATTGGCGTCGGTGGGGCGCGAACTTGCGGGTTCTCCTCCAAGGGAAGGACAGACAACTTGGGCATCGGGGAAATCATCCCAAAGGCTCGCCCAACCTTGTTTCGGCCATCCACAGCATCTCCCTTGGCCAGCCACACATCACCGCTTCGACGACCTTCGACGACCGTGACACTGGCACTCGTGCTGCGCTTGTATTCATGAGACCATTTGCCGTAGGGAGGAACGCTGCCAGCAAGCGGGCTGCGTGTCATGTTTGCTGGCAAGTCGCTCGAGGTGTCGAACAAACCCTCGGGAGCAGGCATCGGCGATTGGAAAATCAGGTTGAGAGCGAGGATCGGAGAAGAGACCGTAACCGAGAGCGACAGCAAGATTGACACGAAGGCTGGTGGGGTCGGGTTCTGTTGAGAAAGAATGAGATATGGCAGGGACAGGACCTGAGAACAAGTCAGAGAGTCGTAACTTCTTTTCAGAAATAAACTCACAACGGGTGCCCAAATTAAAAGCAACCAACCAATAGCGCGGTATCCAGAAATATCAACCTCAGCCGAGGGGGCAGCTGCAGCGAGTGCCGCGAGACTTTTCTCTGCATCAGCATGGAGACCATATCCTCCCAAGACACGGACATTGCCAATGGCAGGCGTAGTCGGCCGTGAGACAGCCGTGTGCGACGGGAGCAGCTCGTCATTCAAGTTGATCGCGCTGACGTTGCGGGAATCAGAGTGATGCCCAATCGAGGAAGGGTACGACCACGCAGAAACGACCGTGTGGGTTCCATTCGTCGATGTCAGCCAGGACGTTTGCGAATCGTATCGCGGCCGGGGAGTGTGGGGCCCTTCGAGTGGCGCATCACGGCGGAAAGGATCCGGTTCAGCCAACTCTTGAGCAGTCGGCGACAGCGGCCCGAACTCCGATGGAACCTGCGGAACGGGAGGCACATCGGATGGAGTCGACGAGTTAAACCAGTACCCAGACTTGGCTGGCACGGAGGGGTGGTTCATCGATCCGTGGCGTCCGCCGTGAGTGGAGGGAGCGTG